ATGTTGGCACTTTGCAATAACTAAGTGGGTTTGGGGTTGCAGTTTGGGCCCTTGGTCTCTACAGGTTTAAACGTCACTGTTTTGGAGAATGAGAGGGACCAGTCTCTAATGTTACTAGTCATGATTTTGCGTTTGTTTATTTGTTTTGGTTTTGGTTTTGCTTGTTTGTTTTTGTGGCACTAGGAATGGAACCCAAGGCCTTTACCCTGAGCTACTCAAACATCCCCAGCCCTCTTTTATTTTGAGACAAGGTCTTGCTAACTTGCTGAGTTTCCCAGGTTGGACTCAAAGTTGCAGTCCTCCTGCCTCAGCCTCCCAGAGTGCTGTGATTACAGGCATGAGCTACCACACCTGGCTTAGAAAATACACTTTCAAGTTGCAAAGGTGTTAGGGCTCTAGGATAGAGGTGGTGCTAGATGAATCTGGTTGCTACAATAGTTCAAGGTCTGTGGCTCAGTCATGTTTATCAGGTGTGGATGAGCTCTCCAAGTGTCTCCCCAAGAAATTTCAGGTTGCATGCAGGCCTGGCTGAGGCTTCTGCCCATCTCCGGGGTTGCAGGGCCATGCTGGGGCCACATGGGAGTCTCCATGAGTGTGACGCCTCTTCACTTCCCTGTCTCTGTGTGGGTTTCCCAGGGCTGGTACGCTTGGCCGTCATCAGCAGCAAGCACCCATGGAGCGCTGTGGTGCACAGGCCCCTGCTGCATCTTATGCCCCTGCTTTGGCCAGGGCTGGGAGCTCCAGGGGCACAGAGTGGCCAGTGGTCTCAGAAAACATCAAGAGCAGGAAGTTCTGCAGCACCCACCTCATACAATGAAGCCTCCGACCCAAAATGAGGAATTCTACTCTGAGCCCCTGTTCTTGTGGGATGCGCTGTACTCTGGTTATAGGAGGGAGCTGAGTGTGTGAGAGGCTTTGTGTACAAGCCCTTGAACATTTCAAGAAGTAAGTTTCCAGAGACGTTAACCACAGGAAGTGCGGTTATAGTCTCACTGCATCCTCATTTCCTCTTTCCTTCCCCCTTCTCCCGGGGTCTCAGTTTCCCCACGGGCTCCTTATAGCTGGAAGAGGTGAATGGCAGGTCCCCAAGGGTTCTGATCCATCCTGCAAGGGAGACAGTCAACATTCCCCGCAGCAGGGGGCTTGGAAATAGGGCAGCTGGTGTGGGACGATTCGAGAAGGGACAGGCCTGGGGAAGCCAAAGGAGGGGTCGCTGGGAGGTGCCAAGGCTTTGTCCCCAAGCCACTGCAACTAGGTAAGGAAGTGGTGTCTGGGAGCGGCAAGAAAGGGGCTGACGGCCTTCCCAGGGAGGCCACAGCATCTCTGTGACCATCTGTGGGCCAGGCAGTAACTTGGTTGGTTGGCACTAAGGAGCCACGGTCTCAGCACCTCCTGCTACGTACGCTTGGTCTCCCGTTCCCTTGTCTGCTGCACCCCTCAGTGGTGAGGACGAGACTGTCTCAGGTAGCCCTGTGTCTGTCCTCATGAATAAAGGGGTGAGCAGATGATGGACAAAAGCCTCAAGCAGGACCCGTGGTGGACAGGTTCTAGAACACAGGCCTCTGTGCACCCCGGCCCCACACAGGGGGTCTCCGCAAGTGCTTCACTAGTGGGAACGACCTGCGTCCCCCCCCTGCCTACTTCCATAGGCTTGGCGTAGAGCTGGGATTTGCACACAGGCCGGCTGCACACAGAGCCAGTGGGCTCCCCTGCCACCATGGGCAGGACTTTCCCAGAACAATCCCCAGTTTTCCTGACACCACTGAAAGGGACCTGCCGTTTTAGGAGGCAATGCCAGTTAAAAGATCTGCGGTGCTGCCTCATGAGCTGGCCAAGCCTCGGGAGGCAGTGCTGCCCCATAGGGCCCCAAGGGACACAAGGCACTATGGCCCCTCTGGGGCAGCCAGCACTAGGAAAGCTGCTTTCCCCAAACAGTGGTGGACCCTCTTGAAACCGCTGCTCAGGACAATCTAGACTCTTTCTTCTGTGGAAACTGTAAAAGTATTCTGGTTGGAATGAGGCAGGAGACTGGAGGGGGAAACCTCTCCCCACGCCATCCTGGGGCCTGGCTACCTACCTGCCTGCCCTCCACAGCAGCCCTGAGAGGGAGCTGCTCTCCCCAGAGACCTGTGGCCAGCTCCTCCTGCCCTTCCTTGTACAGACAGACCAGGTCGCCAGGTGGCGGGAGGGTGTGAGACCAGGGCCTCTGCCCTCTGCCAGGGCGGCTTCATGAGAAAGGCAGGGGAAGGAGATCCTGGCCGCTGAGATTGTGTAGGGCTGGGAAGGAAGGTGGTAAGGGTTAGGGTTACACACTGGGAGTCGATTGAGGAGATGTCACACATTTCCCTGCTTTTCCTGGTAATTGTCACCTTGTCCCAGAAGAAACAAGAAGCAGGCCAAGACTGCATCTTCCAATGAGCTCTGGATCCACACACTGAGGTGGTCAGAGCCTCTGAGGTCTCCAGGCCTGGGAAGAGGGTCCCCAGGCCCTGGTTTGGGGAGGAGAGGGCACAGCAACAGTGGCACTGAGACATGTGAATCCGTGTCACCGCTGACTCACTGTGGGGAGGGGGCAGATGTGTCTGAGTCCATGACAGTGCTGTCACGTGTGAGGGGTGTGATCGCCAGGCACGCCCGCCCTCCTGGGATGTGGCTGGGAAGGCAGGGCAGTCCCGAGAGCAGTGCTCCCCAGGGTCCGTCTGTAGCTGCCTCTCTCGGTGCTGGTCGGGGCCATGCTGACCCTCGGGATGGTGATATCTCAGGTGCTGGGTCACAGGAAGGAAAGCAATGACTGACAGGGGTTGGCAAGAGCTACCTGGTGCCTGCTGAGTCTGCGTGCAGAGGCCTAGGCCACGCCCTCAGCAGGCTTTCGCTGTGGAGGGCCTTCTAGACAGACAGCTGTCCTCTCCTCTTACTGCCCTGGTGTTGGGGAGCTGTCCTCGGCCATCAAACGAGACTCAGAGGAAGTGGGACCAAGAGGCCCCGTGAGGGACAAGATGCCGTGTTCTCCCACTGAACCACCAGGCGCTCGTCACTGGGTCCTAATTCACCTGACCAACCCGGGGCACCACCAGGTGGCCCAGCCCCCGAGGAGAGGCCCAAGGCGCCATTCTCACCTCTGAGTCCCATTCTAGGGCCTTCTGTGTGTCCCAGGCCACTAGAGGCTCTGCGAGGTCATTCTCTCTGTGCCCCTGCCTTCCTGCAGGACTCCTGGACCACCCTGTGGGCTTCCCTGACAGTATTTCTACTTAGGTCTCTCATCTGCAGGCCCAGGGACCTGCTCTCTGCAAGTCCTTTGTTGTATCTAACCTAAACCCCTTTTGCTGTAAGCGACAGAAGGTCAAGACTTAGCACAGGAACACAGGCAAAAATAACCTCCAGAGGTCACCGGGATGCACCGCTGCTTCCAGAAACAAAAGTGGTTGGCCTGGACGCCCTGTTTGATAAGCACGAAGGCGGCAGCTCTGCTGTGTACTGAGGAGCCCTCTAGGTCCTGCTCCACAGAAATCCCAGGCCAGAGGACGCTGGGCTCCTTCTCCTTTTAAGGCAACGTCTGAGCTCTCGGGCTGTGCGGGCTGCAGCAGGCCCCAGCCCCACTCATTCCTGGCTATTTGGAGGAAACTGATGATTAATCGGCCCTCTCCCCACCCCCAGCAGCCTGTTTTTCATTATGTTCTTTTTAAAGGGTTGGCACACCTCCTGGAGAATGGACACTTGGCAGATCCCAGCCAACCGGGACCCCAGGGGAGGAGTGGGGAGTGGCCTGGGATGAGGACAAAGGGGAGCGGTCAGGACATGGGGTGTCGGGGCAAAGAGGGGGATAAAATGTGGGAAACGTTCCTGTTTGCGGAGGAGAGGAAGGTTCTGAAGGAGGCTGGCTCTGGCAGCACAGCCACACAGGCACCTATGGGTGCAGGGCAGGCAGCAGGACAGGCGCGGCCCCCATGAGGAGGGCCAGGGACAGTTGGCCCCACTGACTTGGTGGCTGCTGGTGAGACAGCCAGGCCGAACCCCAGTTTGTCCCGAACCTACTGGGTACGGCTGGTTGTCATCTCTCTGGGTCTCCACCCTCCCTCCAAGCACAGTGGGCTCTGAGAAATCCTGGCTGGGCACTTTGAGGAAGGGAAGGAGAGGGGAGGCGGGGAGGGGTCTGCCCTGGGGGGCTGCTGGCTGGGGCCTGGGCTGGGAGAGTTCACTCAGCACTCACCTCCAAGCTCCACAGTGGACAGGATCTGTGTCAAGAGCACCCCGACGGCAGCCGGACGGCAGCCGGACGAGAGGACAGGGGATTGCCCGGCAAAACTGTGCAGATCGTGGTGAAAATGCCCTAAAGGAGACCCTTTCCTCATTTGCATTCTATTTGCACGCAGTAAAGTCACCAGGGCCTCTGCTCCGGGGTGAATTGTGGGCCCAAATGCAGCTCCTGAAAGGCAGCGAGTGGAGGCGTGCCCCGCCCCCGCCCCGTGGCCACAGCCCCAGTGAGACCCCCGTTCGGCCGGACACTTGGGCCAGGAGGTGGGCAGAGGCGAGTTCCAAGGCGCTGTCACCAGGGCCTGGGCCCTTGGCTGCCTGCCGTGACTCTAGCAGGAGTGGTGGCCTTGGCTGCCCTGAAGTGGGTGTGTTTGGGCTGCAGGTACAAACGCTGCATGGGCCACACTTGCCTCCTGTCCCTCCAGAAGGGTGGGAATGAGGAGGAGCCTAGTGGGCCAGAGAGTGCAGGGCATTCTGCTTTTCCTTCCTTCCCTCTCCAGACCCACTGGACATTCCTCACCAACCCAGGTGCACTGAGCTACACCCCCAGCCCTTTTTATTACTTGACTTTTTTTTTTGACAGTTATTTAAGACCTTTATTAACAGGTGCTTGCAGTTTGTTGCCTTTTTTGAAAAAATCAAGTTGTAAACTTTTATTACAAATTAAAAATGAAGTTCTTAAAATTCTCAACTTGACCAGTTATGAAACAATTTAAAAACCTTTAAAGGTGTATTGAGAAAAACCAGGCTTTTTTTAAAAAACACGTTTGTCATTACCAAAAAGAGACATCTTTAGGTAAAAATAATAAAAACCCCATGCTGCATAGATAATGCAGATAGTTCTAGTTATCTGGTCAATGGGCAAAAAGCAAGCACTTAAGGTCTTCAGTTCCCAATCTTTTGTTCATTTCTTATTGCTGGAATTTCATATTTGTTTCTTCTTGCTGGATGACTAAACCGGATGATGGTAGAAATGTTAAGCCGGCATTTACTCAGCCCGCCCTGCTCAGCCTCGGGAGCAGACCTATTCTCAGCTGGTGGATCGGCTGCTTTTGACTCTTTGCCATCTTGTGGTTTAGGGTTCTCTGGGCGTCTGCGTCGGTAATTGAAGTTTTGGCGGTACTGACGTTGAGGTGGCTGCTGACCTTGGATCTCATCTACTTGATTCTCCTTATCCTCTTCATTGCCATCCTCTCTAGGCTGTCTTTGGCAAGGAGGGCCCCTGCGAAATCGTGGTCTGTAACTGGAGGGTGCTGACAACCAGGGTGCAGGAGAACAAGGTAGACAAGTGAGACAGAATATGTATTACTTGACTTTTGAGACAAGGTCTCCCTAAGTCACCCAGGATGGCCTCAAACTTGCATCCTCCTCTGTCCCCTAAGTGACCTGCATTCCAGGCCTGTGTCAGCTCTACTGGGCACTTGTGAAAGACAGAAATCCTTCCAATATCCAGGCCATGGTCTCTTTCTGTTAAAACACCCCTAGGGGTGGCTGGGGATTTAGCTCAGTGGTTCTGGCGCCTGCCTGGAAAGCACAAGGTCCCAAGTTCAATCCCTGGTACCAAAATAAATAAATAAATAAATAAATAAATTTTAAAAATAATTAAAAAAAAAAACACCTCTAGAGAAGGACTTAACAGCATCTCTTGGAACCCCGGGTTCTCTGGGCCCTCTTTCCCAGTTGGATGGTTAAATTTAGTATCACATCATGGGCCAGCTGCTGCTTGCTGTGCTCCTGGGGCGGGGATGGAAGCAAGTCCCCCTGAAATAGCTCAGACTCAATGCAACTTTGTGGAAGGAGAAACAAAACCACACAGAGGTGCTGGGTGGCCTGTGCTGTGAACAAGACCCAAGTGTCTGTGGTGCCCAGCGGACTCAGTCCTACACTTCCCAGAGCGATGTCACGGTGTCTTGCGTGATCCAAGTGCAGCCTCGACTCCTCTACCCCAAATGTGAAGCATGCTCCCGAGATCTACAGACCCAGCAGATTCCAGGACTCCCCACACAGAGGCTTTGTCCTTAGCAAAGCTTTTACTAAGAAGTAAAAACTAGGGCTGGCAGTGTGGCTCAGTGACGGAGCGCTTGCCTAGCATGCCCGAGGCCCTGGGTTTGAAGTCTAGCAGCAGACCAAAAAAACAAATAAAGACAACATTGTAAACTTTTTAAGAGAGACACATGTTTAATGCATTCATTCTACCTATATCTTTATAACTAGCTCCTTCTTTCAGGAGATGGTGATGGTAGATAGAATTTATAAATAGCCTTAACTAATGTCAGCATCAATATCTTGATCCCTTCAATGTTTTTTTCTCTACAAATGTATTGTTTTACCAAACTCCAGTGTCTGGGACCCCCTGACACCCCCTGGCAGCAGGGATAGGGCTAAGGTGAGGGTATGAGGCCTTGAGCTCAGACTGCCCCCTGGGGAAGGGGGCTCAGTGGGTGAGATAACTGATATTTTAACATACATATTTTTTTTCCAGCACTAGGGATTGGACCTAGGACCTTCACACTGAGTTACATGCACTCCCTTTATTTTGAGACAGGATCTCACAAGCTGCTAAATTGTCCAGGCTGGCCTTGAACTTGAGATCCTCCTGGTTCAGCGAGTGCTGGGATTACAAGCATGAAGCATCATTCATGCATATTTTTTTAAAAATAAAAACTCATTTTGAAAAATCCATAATGACTAAAAATTCAACACTAGGTGGCGGTGCACACCCGTAGCCCTAGCATTCTGGGAGGTTAGGCAGAAGGACAGCAAACTCAAGGTAAGCCTGAGCAACCTAGCTACTTGCTTAGCAAGACCCTGTCTCAAAAGAAAGAAAAAAGGTCAGGGGACAGAGTGCAGTGCAAAGGCCCTGTGCTTACTCCCCCCTAGTTAATGCTACAGGTAGGATCAGCCTGAGTGACTGTGCCTCTGCCTCAGGTTTCAATATTCATGCAGGCACTGTTGAAAGCAGCCCCTCTAAAATTACCCGTGACAGGACCAGACAATTGTGTCTGAGAATGCTCTGGGAAAGGAACTGGGCTTGGGGCAAACATCCCTAGGTGTGGGCACCCTCCCTAGGTGTGCGTTTTGCCATCCCACAGCCCTGAGGCCCTTCGTGAGTCCGATGCCAGCCCGTTCTCTGCAGTGGGAGCCCAGTTGCCCTGCTGCTGTCCTCCCCAGGCTCCGGGTGGTTACCTAAGTGCTCTCTGGCTTGTCTCCTACCTGTCCCTCTCCTCCTGAGGCCAGCTCTTCATGTGTGTTTTTCTTCTCTGAATTCTTAGGAAAGCAAGCAAGCAGAGAGCCGTGCAGATGCCAAGGATGGAGGGGAAAGGGGCAGAGATGCCAGCAAAAAAGCCCTGGGCCCCAGACAGGATTCAGACATAGGCAAGGAGCCGAAGAGGGACAATTTAAAGAAGAGCTTCTCCAGAGACAAGGAGGAAGCTGGCGGTGGAAGTGAGGAGAAGCCCAAGGAAGAGAAGGTCCTCAGGGGCATCGACAAGGGCCGGGTCAGGGCTGCAGTGGACGAGAAGGAGGCAGGGAAGGGTGGGAGAGAAGAGGAGAGGACAGCGGCCACCAGGAAGGAAGAGGAGAAGAAAGGGAGGGACAGGAACACAGGCTTGAGTAGGGACAAGGAGAAGAAGAGAGACGACGCGGTCAAGAAAGAGGATGAGAAGGTGAAAAGGGCCAGCAGGAGCACAGACACCAGCAGCAGAGAGGACGAAAGGGTGCGAAGGGCAGGCAGAGACACAGACAGGACAAAGGAGGATGAGGGGATGAAAAGAGGCACTGGGGACAGGGACACGAAAAAGCAGGAGGACAAAGTCAAGAAGCAGGAGTCCCCGAGTGAAAAGGCAGCCAAGGAAGAGAGCAAGGCCCAAGCGGCAGAGCAGCAGGCCCCTGGGGGCTCGGGCAAGGCTGCAGAGGGGCCGGCCGGGGCAGAAGAGGAGGCAGCTCCCAGCATATTCGACGAACCTCTGGAGAAGGTGAAGAACAACGACCCGGAGATGACCGAAGTGAACGTCAACAACTCAGACTGTATCACAAATGAGATCCTGGTCCGGTTCACCGAGGCCCTGGAGTTCAACACGGTGGTCAGGGTGTTTGCCTTGGCCAACACGCGAGCTGATGATCACGTGGCCTTCGCCATCGCCATCATGCTCAAGGCCAACAAGACCATCACCAGCCTCAACCTGGACTCCAACCACATCACGGGCAAGGGCATCCTGGCCATCTTCCGGGCCCTGCTCCAGAACCACACGCTGACCGAGCTGCGCTTCCACAACCAGCGGCACATCTGCGGGGGCAAGACGGAGATGGAGATCGCCAAGCTGCTCAAGGAGAACACCACGCTGCTCAAGCTGGGCTACCATTTTGAGCTGGCCGGGCCCCGGATGACCGTCACCAACCTGCTCAGCCGCAACATGGACAAGCAGCGACAGAAGCGGCTGCAGGAGCAAAGGCAGGCCCAGGAAGCCAGCGGAGAGAAGAAGGGGCTGCTGGAGGTGCCTGGGGTCGGGGCCCTGGCCAAGGGCTCCCCCAAACCTTCACCCCAGCCATCTCCAAAACCCGCCCCAAAGAACTCGCCCAAGAAAGGGGGTGCTCCCCCTGCCCCGCCCCCTCCGCTGGCTCCTCCCCTTATCATGGAGAACCTGAAGAACTCACTGTCACCCGCCACGCAGAGGAAGATGGGGGACAAAGTCCTCCCGGGCCAGGAGAAGAACTCGCGTGACCAGCTGCTGGCCGCCATCCGCTCCAGCAACCTCAGGCAGCTGAAGAAGGCAAGTGGCGTGGGCGTGGCTTGCAGGAGAGGCAGCTTGGAGGGCACACAGGCAGAGGCGCTCCCGGTGGGCACACTCCCAGGGCCCTGCCTCCAGGCAGGTCACAGCTGGCCTTAGATACAGAGACATCTTTTTTTTTTTTGGTACTGGGGATCGAACTCAGGACCTTGCACCTTTGCAAGGCAGGCAATGGCACCACTGAGCTAAATCCCTGGCCCCACACAGCTGGCCTGAGAGGCCAGACTCCATGCTTCCTTCAAGGAATTTCCTTCAGTATTTCCCTCCACACTTCACCCTCCTCTGCTGCAGGCAGACCCGCTTCTCCTGCAGACAGAGAGACAGATTTTCCGAGCAGTGCTTCAGTGGGCCCTTCCTGTAAGTTCTCTCTTCTCCAGTCCCCTAAACAGAAATGACTGTGGTTTTACTTAATCATCTTTCAGGATCAGCCTGGTCCTGCAGCTCAGCCTTCCAAAGGCGCCTCCATCACCCTGGAGAGTCTGCCTTTGACAAACCAGTGCCACAGATGGGTGGGCCGTCCCCAGATATCCACTTGTCACAGCCCTGCCTCCCCGGAAGGCCCCCCTGGTGACAGAGTCCATGTTTATTTGCCCCTCTGCCTGGATGCCCTACCCCCTCAAGATCAGTTGCAACTAGACAGCACAAGATGAAGGACTGCCTTCATTAGAATCCAGTGGCCCTTGAGTGACAGCCAGCTTTTACAGAACGGGCATCAGCACCTCCAGCACTCATCCCACGGACACACATGAGGTGTCTGGAGTTCCGTCCTTCCAGCAGGGAGGGAGGTAAGAGGGAGCCCAGAGGCCTCTGGCCAGCCCCTCCTGCTCTCACCATGTCTGCTTTGCCCTGCAGGTGGAGGTGCCCAAGCTGCTTCAGTAGGACCAGGCTGCCAGGCTCTGATGCCAGCACCATGACTGTCCAGACTCACGTCCTAGGGCTGCACAGACCCCGCCACCCCACCCTGGCTGACCTGCTGTGGCTGTCTTATTCGGCCATGGGAGCGCTAGAGGCCTGGGCCACGCACGAGGCAGGACGTCTCATCTCTTCTCACTTTCCTTTTCTTGTCTCTGAGGCTCTCCAAGAATTGCTTTGATGCCTGGAGCTGAGGTTTCTGGACAAGAAGAGTCCTTCTAGCACATCACAGAGAAGATGGCACTGCCCAGGGCCCATGGAGCTGGCACACTGCAAAAGGCCTGTGATCCAGGAAAGATGTCTTCCAGGGGCCACGTATCCAGCCCAGCCCCACTGCCCTCCAGGGCAAGGATTCAGGCCTCTGAGGAGCCCTTAGGGCAAAGCTGCTGGGCCCGTGGCACTGTGTGGGGTAATAGCAGAGAGATTACAGGCACGGGGGTCCATGGGGAGGCAGATGGCCTGGACGTAAGACAGTGCATGCTGGGGAGTGGGCTCCAGATGGGAGGAGATGGACAGACAGCAGCTGGACCTGAAGGTTTGATGCCAAAGCAGACATTTTCCTCACACCCACCTGCTGCTGTATAAATAGCTGTGTATCTGTTTTTCCATAAGATTTTGATAATATATACAACCTTTAGCTGCAAGTGACTGTGCCTCTCCTCTGTCATGGACTGAGGATACTGATGCTCACCCTGGGCTCCCTGGAAGGCTCTAGAAGCTCACATTCTCTGCTACACCATTTGAGCTGACCATGAAACCAGTCCACCTCTGCAGAAAGGCTCCATGGGGAAGGCCTGGGCCCTGAGCAGAGGGAACCCCCTCCGCCTGCTCCTGAACCAGTCTTGCTGCCCGGAGCCAGTGTCCAGCACTGCTTGCAGGGGGTACAGGGCAGAGTGGAGCACAAGCCCTGGGATGGCTATATTAGGCCTGTTCAGGAGAGGTTCATTCCATGACTCTTCCTAACTGTGGGCACGGGGCCAGCTCCACACAGCAGTTACAGGCCAGGCAAGGCAGCAGCCAAAGTGGGGTGCCCACGTGGAGAGCAGCACCCACCCCTGTGTGTCCTTAGGCCCAGAGGTGCCACCCTCCTGATCTGACAGTGTCTCCACATCTGCCACAGGGCATACATCAAAAACATCTCTCAAACCAGATCTGATGGTGCATGCCTGTAGTCCTAGCACTCTGGAAGGCTGAGGCAGGAGGATTGCAAGTTTGAACACAGCCTTGGCAATTTAGTGACTTAGAGAGACCCTTAGTATCTCAAAATAAAAAATAAAAACAGACTGGGGATGTGTCCTCTTAGCAGAGTGCCTCAGGATCGATCCTCAGTACCAAGGGGACCAGAATGGAAAAGAAAGAAAAAGAAAGAAAGAAAGAAAGAAAGAAAGGGGAGGGGGAGAAAGGAAGGAAGGAAGGGAGAAAGAAAGAAAGAAAGAAAGAGAAAGAGAGGGAGGGAGGGAGGGAGGGAGGGGGAGAGAGAGAGAGAGAGAGAGAGAGAGAGAGAGAGAGAGAGAGAGAGAGAGAGAGAGAGAGAGAGAGAGAGAGAAAGGAAACAAACAAAAAAACCCCAAACCTCCAGGCTAGGCTATAGCTCAGAGGCAGAACACATGCTTAGGTCGGGGGAGGTCCTGACTTTGACGCCCATCACACCAACACAACAAAAATATCTTCCTCATTTTGGCTGGCTTGGTTGTGCTGGCTCCCCTTGGCACTGTGAATCTGCCACCCTGGGTCTGGACCAACTTTAGGTTTTCTGCCTCAATAGCAGACAGCACAGGAGTTTTTGGCACCGGGGATCAAACTCGGGACCTTGTGCTTTCGAGGTGGGCGCCGGAAACACTGAGCTAAATCCCTGGCCCGAGCACAGGAGTTTAAAGGCCTTCGTGTGCTTCCACGGAGCCTCCAAGTTTGAGAGGTGGATACCAATAATCTCTCCACTCGGCAGAAAAAGTTCGGGCCGGAGAGGTTGACTAATCACCCATGATTACAGCTAACAAAAAGCAGAGCTCAAGTCTTCAGCCCCTGGAGCTGATTCCCCCATCCACCACTGAAATGAGAAGGTGACGCAAAGAGTAAGAGCCTAACGGAACCAAAGGACGTATCTCTAAATTTTAAGGCTCCCACCGAATCTGTCACCTTAGGACCCTTTCTATCAAATTGAAAACACGAGTTAGGAAAAGCCCACTCCCCTCCAGGCCCCGCCCCCGCGCTCTCGGTGGCGTCCGCAGCGCCGATGACACAGTGCGCTCGAGCCTGGCGCGGGGGCACAGCGCCACCTGGTGGCCGAGCGCGTCCCACACGGGACCGGGAAAGCTGCGGGGGCACCGGGAGTCGAGGGCGGATGGGTCTGGACGCCCCGCGGGGTTACCTGGGGCCCGGGCCGTGGAGAGCGCGAGACAGAGTGGGCGGCCGCGCGCGGGCACCGCCACCACCGGCCCCACCACACGGACAGTCACCTGTCTGTCCCGCCTTCCCGTCCGAAATCCCTGAAGCGTCTTGTTTTACGTGGTTCAACGAAAGCAAATGACTTTCCAAGCTGATGAAGACAGACTCAAACCCGCGTCCGCGGACCAGCGGTCTATCCCATCCCATCGCCCCCGACCCAGGAGAAGCGACGTCTGGCCGCGCAGCCCCCGCGCCGACGTCACCATCGCTTACGGGGGCTGCCTTGCGGGCGTCCCTCCCGGCTCCTCCTCCGCCACCGCCTCTTCAGCTCGCCTTTCCCGGCACCCCGCCCGCTCGGGTGACCAGCTAGGACCGGGGCCTGGCCTGTAGTGCTCGCCCGCCTCGGTGTCACCGTGCACCACGGAGGGGTTCCAGGCAGAGGAACCTCCCCGGCCACGTGGCCCTTTGTAAGAAACAGGATCACAAGCTGGGCTTGCACGCCTGTAATCCCTGCACTTGGGAAGCTGAGGCAGGAGGATTGCTGCGAGTTCGAGACCAGCCTGGGTTACATCGTGAGACTGTCTCAAAAAAATGGGATCTGAGGGCCGGGGATTTAGCTCAGTGGTGCCGCCGCCTGCCTCGCAAGCGCAAGGACCCCACTTCGATCCCCGGTACCAAAAATAGGATCTGGACAAACGTCAGCCATGAGCCTGCTTCTGGAAGATCAAGATCGCCTGCCTCGGTTTGCAGCACCATGCGCCATCCCCACCCCGACCCCCGACCTCCGAGGTCAGCCTGCAAGTCAGAGCCTGTGAGGCCTCCTTGGGCACACCTTCTCTGCCCGGTTCTCTAGCCCCACCCCTGATCCCACCGTGTGCTGTTCTTGCCGGAAATTCTCTACTTTTCTGGCCCTATTTCCCCCACCCCCACGGAGTCTCCCCTTTCTTGCTACCTTTCCAGAGGCCCCCACTACATTTCCCCGAGTCCTTGCCCTAGATCTGTCCCTGCCCTGAACCCAGACTGTCCTCCTTGGAGCTAGCTCAGCCTCCCTCACCATCCTGAGTAGGCCCGTGGGTTTTGCATTTGTTGCCTTGGGCTCATGGGTTTTGTTTCTGTTATTTTTGGCGTTGCAGAGGATGGAACCCAAGGCCTTAAGCATACTAAGCAGGTGCTCTGCAGGCCCATGCTTTTGTATAAAACTGCTCTTCTCCATCTAGTCTCCCAGACCTGCTCCCCAACCCAGCTTTCCTTCCAACATGCAAAACTGTTTACACTACTGGTCCCCCAGCCCTCCTGTCTCTTGGGGTTGCCTGATCGGTTTTCAGGGATGAAGTACAAAGAGATGGGAAGGGGCATCTCCAGCTCCAGGCTCCACCCAGCCCTGCTAGGCTCTCCTGTTCCCTTGATGATGAGCCTGGGACCTGGGATGGGAGGTCATGGTGCTTTGGGAGGGATGGAGTATTCTCATTTAAAGAGTCCTGGTATGTACCACGATGCTCTTCTCTGCTTAGAATATGCAAAAGCCCCACTGCTACAGGGGCCCCCTCCCTGCTTTTTCCTTAGAATTCATCTTTTCAGTGATTTGCAGAGTTAATTAGAAACCAGGGCAGCTCTGGCTGTAGTAAAGATGCCTCCTACCCTAGGCTACGAAGCAACTTGGCCACAGCTTGTTGATTCAAGGCTAATTCTGCCTGCCAGGGGCTTGTATTACACTCACAGAGCTCAGAAACCTTCCCGTGTGCATCTCCTCCACCGCCAGCTTCTGGAGAGAGGCGGCCAGGATCCAGAGCTGCAGGAACCCAGCGGCCCGAGGAAGAAACCTAAGGCACAGGGCTGAGAGGAGAGGACGGGCTGAAGCTGCACTGGGTTGGGGGACCCAAAGGTGGTGGGTGGGGCAGGCCACCGGCCTGGTGGGGAAAGCGGGTGCATTGGGAAGCGATAGCTTTCCCTGAGCTGAGCTAGCACTTTCCCCCACTTAAATGAAAAACTATACAACTGGCTGGAGGTGTAGCTCAGTAGTAGGGCACTTGCCTAGCTAGCATCCACAAGGCCCTGGGTTCAATTCCAGCACTGCAGAAAACAAAAACCCAAAGTACAAAAGTCCCTTCTCTGGCTCTGTCATGAGCCAAGTCTGGAAAGCATAGGGACTGTGACCTCAAGGGGCATGGGGAGGGAAGGTGGCCAGAAAGCTCCAGATGCCTGCTCCCCTCCAAGATTGTCCCTTCCAGGCAGCCTACATGGGAGAAGGGGGGGAAAGTTTATTTTCTCCACTGCCTGGCTCAGCGGGGGACCCTGATATGGCCTGGGGGACCTGATGTCAAGGTCCCCTGATAACCAAGCAGCTGATAGAGGCACCTTGCACCCATTTCTTGGACAGCCCTGTCCCTCTATTTGACTCCTAGTCCTAGGACCTCTGATTGGGAAGGACAGGGCTTACAGTTTCATCATGTAATATTTCACCCTCATGACAGCTGTGAGATATTATCTTAAACATGAGGACACTACATCTTGGAGACCTTCAGAGACATAATCAAAGTCAGAGAAGGACAGGGGTAAGTTTGAATCTAAGTGGACCTAACAGGGGCAGGCACCTTGGTACAGTTGGCAGTGCCTCAGATGTCCACGAGGCTGACCCTGAGCAGGGGACTCTGGAATGCAAGTGAGCACCCTTTTCCAACTGCCACAAAATCCGCCTCATTCACCTTGGAGACCAGCCTAAGGTCCCCTCGACCTGGGATGGGACCAAGGGGGCCAGTGTGCCCCAACATGGGGGTTGGCAGAGTGGGCAGCAGTCTGGGCTCAGGGGAAGGCAGTGCTGCTGGAAGCTGTGGATGGGCCCAATGATGCTGCTGACATAGTCACATCTTTACAGCTTTAATCCAGCGGGCCAGAGCCCTGGCCAGTGCGGCAGCCAGAGAGGAGGGCTCCTGCCAGTTGTTGATGGAGCTTCCCACTGCCACTACCCCAACACAAAGTGGGCAAACAGGAGGGGCCCTGGCCTTTCCAGCTGGGATCCTGGGAGCAGAGCAACTACATGGAAACTGGGGGTGTGACTCCAGATCTCACCTCCCTCTTTTCCCCCCAGTGAAAATAGCCCATCAGTCCCAAGCCCTCCCAACCACCCCTCATCCACAGTCTAGTTCCAGCCAGGTTCCTGTTCCACCTCTCTGGGGCACTGTCCCCAGTAGGGCTCAGGACTTGGCTTGGTCTGGAGCTTGGTGACTAGAAGACCCTTGCCCACCCCAGGGCAGGATGCAGGTACAAGATGGGCAATCTTCCAAAGTTGGTATCTCTGAAGGGGCAGCAGAGACGTAGCTGGATCTTCAGGCTCCTGGATAAGAGGGCTGTGGTGGCATATAGGGAGGAGGAGCTGAAAGCCAAAGAGATATGATGAGGGTCAGTGGAAACACAGGAGGACCGGAAGTGAACCCCTGTCCCCAGGGTATGCAGGATCCACGGGGAAAGACATTTCCTAGAGAAACTTCTCTGGGCCTAGAAGTTTCCAGCTAGAGTTGAAGGACAAGTGGGAGAGGGAAGGAGGAACTGGAGCAAGGGGTAGGGGACAAGCAGGAGCAGGGCTTACTTACCTGCAGGGTTGTAAATTGGGGGCCTAGCTGGGTAGAGCGGATACTGGGGAGCAGGACCACTAGCTGGGTACATGAAGCCAGGCTGTGGGGGTGCAGGGCCAACTTTGGGGTCCGAAGGGTATGGGTATACCGGCTGTACTGGGATGCCCGTCATTGGAATCTCCTGACCTAGGTGGGGGACAAGGGTTAGCATTCCGATCCCCATCCCCCATAGGAAGCTGCCTCCTCCTGTCTAGGAAACCAAGGGCCCCAGGGCTGACCCTCTGGCAGGCTCCAGGGTGGGCCCCATGGCTTTCTCTCCCAAACCCTCTGTGGCAGCACTGGGGAGGGAGCTGTGCATGCAGCTCTGGCTGGCCAAGCTCTGTTTAGTAAGTTTGCTTCCCTCAGCAGGTTTCAAAGACCTCATGAATCAGAGAGCACAGCCTGGGGATGCCCCACTTGGGCAAGGAGCGGGCAGCTCCAGGGGCTGTTAGCTTGTAATCAGCCCAGCTGCCACCGAGGGGACATCCCCCAGCTCCTCCCTCCCACACTGACCTCCCATCTGTCATCACCATCCCCATGCCTTTCAGGTTTGGGCACATGTGCAGCGACTGCAGCACTCAGACACACACGTTCCACTGCACACTGCAGCACAGTCACTGAATGTGCACCACTACCGACCCCACACCATAGGTTTACTGAGTCACGCACGTGTGTGTCCACTGTACACCAGCCATTGTTGACAGACTGCATCCCCATGCACCACTGAGTATTCATATGCACACACATACTCGGACACATGGTCCCATGCTTCCATTTACCCCTGGGCATGTTCTAGTGTTCACGGGCTTGCAGGCATATTTCTCAATCTTCATGCTGGTAAGTGCATGCATCAGAAATACACACTGCTAGAGAATTCACCAGTCCTTGACCTCTCTGGTGCCCACCGTGGGGCTTGGCCTAGCCCATGTCAGGCCCGTCTTGTCCCATACTGTGCATACCTTCATATGGGCTCTGGAGCTGCTGGCGCCGCCGGTACAGGTAGCAACAGAAACAGAGGAAGCAGCAGATGGTGGTGGCAACCACAGCAACAAAGAGGATCACAGCAGAGGCGATGCTTGCTATGGTCTTGGGACTTTTAGAAAAAGAACAGGTCCTCTCACCTTCCAACACTCACAGGAGCGAGTCCTCATTATGCTAGCCGCAACTTCTGGCTTGCAGGGGGCGCCAGCATGCTAAGATGTGGGAGTCCTTGTGGGGCTCTGCCTGGTCCCGATGGAGATAATCTTGGGACCTCACTTCCCAGAAGACTATGCTGCCTGGCTGGCTAGTCAGAGGCATGCTGGGATTTGTAGTGTTCCCCCCTTTACCTCTGCTTTCATACCTACAGTTGAAGTGATCAGACTTACAACATTTAGCCCAAAAAGGAGCCTTAGAAATAATCCAAGGCCATTTTTTCTTTTCGGTACTGGGGATCGAACTCGGGTCCCTGTGCTTTCAAGACAGGCGGCGTAACCACTGAGCTAAATCCCTGGCCCCAGGGCCATTTTTTCTAAACCTCACTTCAGACAGTCTCCTTACATCTGTTTTATGTAGTAGCAACCTCCTTCAAAAGGAAGTTAGAAAACCACTAATTTGGGAGCTGGGGATATAACACAGTGGTAGAACGCTTGCCTGGAATGCTTGAGGCCCTGGGTCCCATCTCTAGTACCAGGGGGAGAAAAATTCATTTTAGCAACCTCGTCATTTCATGAAGAGCAGAGAGGACCCACAGAAGGTAAGCGTCTTCCCCAGGCTCACACAGATGATAGGAAGTGGACCTGGGGGTCAAACCCAAGTTCCCGCCTTCTTGCCAGAGCTGCCTCCACAAAGCCACCCTGCAGTCTGGCTGTTAACCCTTTTGCTTTCCCTCCGCAGGACCTAGAAGGACCAGGAGGAGAGCTCTGGAAAGAACCCGAAAACACTCGGCCTGCGTGGTAACTGACATGCCTTCCCCGGAGCTCCCACGCTAGCTCTACCCAGCCAGCTCTGTCACTAAGCTGGAGCCCTGGTGACTGCACTCAGCCTAAGGATGTGGAGGCGGACGAAGGAGAGAGACAGGCGGCTTCTCCAGAGGAGGCTAGAGAGGGGTCCGGGGGAGGAGGCGGGAGCCCACCTGAAGGCCAGGCAGTGCTTCTGCTGCCTCTCAGTGATGAGCACGGTCAGGTCCCTGCAGCAGTAGCGCTGGTAGCAGGTCCCGCAGCAGAAGGTGAAGAACTCGCAGTCAAAGCCCGGATTCCAGGAGCCATTCCGGCCCAGGTACCACAGGCAGTCCTCGCCAGCCAGCGCTGCGGGCAGGGTGGGGGTGCCCAGTGGCCGCCGGGCCAGTTCCACTCCGGCCGCCCTCAGCCTGACACCCCTCCCCGGCCTGGTCCCAATCCGCTGGCTCCCGGAAGCTAAAGGTGACTCGTGTCTCCACCCTGAGGGTCCCAACTTCGAGCGCAGAGCCTCTCCCCGAGCCCCCCACAGCGGTCTCCCTTTCCGTTCCCAGCCCACCCCGCAGCACGCCGGGCGCGCACACAGCCCGAGGGGCCCCAGGGAGCCCCGCCGAGGCCGAGGCTCGACCCCTCCTCTCCCCCGCCCCAGCCCAGCCCACCCCTCCCTCGCTTCCCATCCCTTACCCAGAGGAGCCCCCAGCACCAGGAGGGTGATCGCGGCGAGCGGGGCGGCCCTGCTGGGCCCCGCGGACGGCATGGTGGGGGCTGGGCGTGGCCAGGGCCGAGCCGCAGGGACAGGGGACCGTGGGGCGCAGCTGGCCGGCCGGAGCTGCGGCGGGGCCCACCAGGCGGCCGGGCTCCGCTCCTCTCAGCCTCCTCGGCCCGGACGAAGCGCCCCGCCCGCCGTAGCCCTGCCCTCCGCCCCTCCGGCCCCGCCCACCGGCGACGCCCGCCCCGCCCCGCTCGGGAGCTGGGCGCGCTAGCCCTGCGGGCAGTGTCCTGCTCTCCCTGTCCCTGGACCGAGGTGGCTCCTCCCGTCTGAGCCATCACGGACACATCGGGCAGCTGGACACTGCGGCCCGAGAGGCCGGGCGGGGCCCTGGGCCCGCCCCCCGCCTGGGTCCAATCGTTATCCGGGACTCCCAGAGCCCTGATCCTGGTGCCACCTCCGAGAGTCCTGCACGTGGGCCAACCCTGGAGGGGCAGGGCCGTGCCTCCCCTGTGCGGGACCTCCTCTGCCCTGGTGTCCAGCCCGAACATCCCGTGGGGGGGGGGAGCGGGGGGGGGGAGGAAGCTGCGAGCCGCCCTGCCCCCATTCCCGAAACACAGGCACCCTTTGAGAGGCAGTTCAGGGCGGCTTTGTCCCCAGCAGTGTCCACAGGCCGGGGCTCTGGCAGCTGCAGCCGCTCCCTGCTTTAGCCCCCGCCACCTACAACCCTTCGCAAGGCAGCTTCCGCACTTGGACATCTAATCTACCTCCTCGGAGGGTGGCGTGGTGGCATCTGCCTGTAACCCCAGCACTCTGGGAGGTTGAAACAGGAGGAGGATGGCAAGTTTGAACCCAGCCTGGGCAATTTATCATCGTGACGCTAATAAAAATGAATGAAGGGCTGGGAAAGTAGCTCAGTGTGAAGGCCCTGGGTCCAACCCCCAGTATTAAACAACAACAGACCTATCTCAACAAAAAACAAACAAACAAACACTACCTCATTAGAACCTTTCCACAGCTCCATGGGCTAACCCAGGTTGCTAGATGTTACTAACAATATCAATTATTTTTTGAAAGGGTCAGGGATGTAGCTCAGAGGCACAGCGCCTGCCTGGCAAGTGTGAGGTCCTCAGTTCGATCCCTGGTACCAAAAAAAACAAAACAAAAACACATTATCTTTTATTTTTATTGATCATCTTCCAGAAGGTGATCAATACCTATATCAAGAACCTGTATTCTAATAAGATGGAAAACACAGAAGAAATGGACAGTTCCTAGATACATATTAATTACCAAATCTGAATCAAGAAGATATAAATATTTTAAATAAACCAGTATCACTCAAGGAAATTGAAGATGTATTTAAAAACCTACCAACAAAGGAAAGCCCAGGCCCTGACAGATTCACTGATGAATTCTACAAGAAATTTAGAGAAGACCTAATGTTGATACTTCTCAAACTCTTTAATGAAACTGAAAGAGAAGCAATACTCCCAGATTCATTCCTAGAAGCATTACCTTGATACCAAAACCAGACAAGGATCAACCAAAAAAGAGAACTACAGGCCAATCTCCTTAATGAACATAGACACAAACAAAACCTTCATAAGATACTGGCAAGCAGAATGCAGCAAATAATCAAGATGATTATACACCATGACCAAGTGGGATTCATCCCAGGGATGCAGGGATGGTTCAACATATGCAAGTCAATTAATATACTACACCATATTAACAGAGCCAAGGACAAAAACCATATGATTATTTCAATGCAGAAAAATCATTTGCCAAAGTCCAACACCCATTCATGATAAAAACCAACAAAAAATTGGATTAGATGGTCTTTATCTCAATCTGATAAAAGCCATCTATGGCAAACCAACAGCCAACATCATACTAGAGGGACAAAGACTGAAAGCTTTCACTCTAAATCAGGAACAAGAGAGGATGTCTGCTATTAGCACTCCCATTCAATATAGTTCTGGAAACACTAGCCAGAGCAATTAGACAAGAGAAAGAATAAAAGGAATAAGGATAGGAAAGGAAGAAGTTAACTTCTCATTATTTGTGGATGACATGATTCTCTACATAGAAGTCTCCCAAAACTCCCCCAAAAGACTTCTAGATTTAGTAACCAAATTCAGTAGCATAGCTGGATACAAAGTCAATATTCAAAAATCTATAGCATTCCTGGGCTGGGGATGTAGCTCAGTGGCACCCTGCCTGCCTCAAAAGTGCAAGGTCCTGAGTTCAATCCCTGGTACTGGAAAAAAAAAATCAATAGCATTCCTGTACACAAATAAAAACTCCCTGAGAGAGAAATTAGGGAAACAATACCTTTCACAATAGCATCAAAAAAACAAAAAACAAAAACCCTAGGAATCAGTCTACTGAAGGAAGTAAAGACCTTTCTATGGGGCTGAGGATTTAGCTCAGTGGTGCTGCCGCCTGCCTCGAAAGCACAAGGTCCTGAGTTGAACCCTGGTACCAAAAAAGCTTTTTTAAAAATTTTTTAAAAAGACCTTTACATAGGAAACTACAGTACTCTGAAAAAGGAGATCAAAGAAGATATATAAAAAAATGGAAAGATATCCCTTTTGCTTGGGTAGGAAGAACCATTATAGTGAATAGCATATCTCACGGAATTAAAGAAAACAATTCTAAAATTCATTTGGAACCAGAAGAAACCTAAAATAGCAAAAGCAATTCTGGGCAACAAAGGCAAGGCAGGGGGCATCACAACCCCTGACTTGAAATTATACTACAAAGCTACTGTGTTTTTTTTTTTAAAAAAGAAAACAACAACAGCATGGTACTGGCAAAAAAGAAAAAGAGACCTGAGGATCAATGGAACAGATTAGAAGATGCAGAAATATACTCAGCCACCTTATCTTTGACAAAGGAGCCAAACACCTTCACTGGAAGAAAGAAAGCCTCTTTAATAAATGGTGCTGGAAAAACTGGCTTCCCACATGCCAAAGAATAAAACTAGACCCATATCTCTCACCATGCGCTAAACTAAAATTGAAAATGGATCAAAGATCTAAATATTAAAACAGAAACACTGAAGCTGCTGCAAGAGAGAATAGAATTCTTGAAGACACTGGTGTAGGCAAAGACTTTATAAACAAAACCCCAATCACACAGGAAATATCACAAAGAATCAACAACTGGGATCTCATCTTATTAAAAAGCTTTTGCACAGCAAAAGAAACCACAATCAGAGTGAAAGACAACCCACAGAGTGGGAAAAAATTTTTCCAGCTGTTCATCAGGCAAAGGACTAATATCTAGAATATATAAAGAACTCAAAACAGAATCCGAAGCCCCCAAATTTAAAGACCCAATTCAAAAATGGGCATCTGAAATGAATAGACACTTCTCAGATGAAAATTAGAAATGGAAAATAAATATATGAAAAAATGTTCAACATCAGTGGTCATTCAAGAGATGCAAATTAAAACAATGCTGAAATTCCATCTCACTCCAGAAAGAATGGCTGCTATCAAGAAATCAACCAATTGGGCCGGGGATTTAGCTCAGTGGTTTCACCACCTGCTGCGCAAGCGCAAGGACCTGTATGATCCCTGGTACCAAAAAACAAACAAACAAACAAACAAACAAAAAATCAACCAATAACAAATGCTGAAGGGGCTGTAGGGGAAAAGGAACCCCTCTCCACTGCTGGTGGGAGTGTAGACTGGTACAACCACTGTGGAAATCAGTGTAGAGATTCCTCAAAATCTAAAACTAGAAGTTCCATTAGAGCCAGCTATTCCTCTTCTTAGTATCTTTGCAAAAGAATTAAAAGCATCATACCACAGCAATATATGCACACCCATGTTTATAGCGGCACATTCTGTAATAGCTAAATCTTGGAAACAGCCCAAATGCCCATCAACCAATGAATGGATTAAAAAAGATGTAGTATTTTTATGCAATGGAGTATTACTCTGCCATAAAGAAGGCTAGGCTTGAGACATTCCTAGCTAAATGGATGCACCTTGAGACCATACTCTGGAGATAAACTGGACACACATGTTTAAATATTGCATTATCTGGTGTAAGAAACCAAAAGTGTAAATAAAGACAAAAATGTATAATAGATATTGGGAAATGGGAAGAAAATTTTCAGATAAGAAGGGAAACAAGGGAAGGGGGAGGGGGAAAGGAAAGAAGGGACAAGAAAAAGAAAGAGAATTGAAGGAAAAATTGGAAACAAAGGAAACAATGGAAATTTGTAAATAAGGAGGGGAAGGAGGGCCAAAGGGAGGGGAGGGGAATGGGAATAAAAGAAGAAGCAAGATGTATCATGTACAGGTACAAACTCTCTATGATGAATGCGATCTTTATGTATATCTATAATGTACCAGTAAAATAAAAAATAATGAAAAAAACCCGCCCTGCAATGCTCAAGGCGGTGCTTGGCTATGCCCACCATGTACTTAGGAAACTGTGATGCCGGCCAGCTTTAACTCTAGCAGGATCTGGACTGGGTAGAAACATAGCAAGGGTATCTGGAGTGGGGGAAAGGGGAGGCAGAAGGGCGGGGACCATCTGTGACCCCGTTTGGGCTTGGTTGGAGTGCTGTACTGCGCCATGTCCCTCCTGGGACGGGTGACGTTGCTGGGGTCGGTCCCCCAACCTCTCCACGCTCCTCTTCATCTCGGAGCCCGAGGGCCGCCCTGAGGCCCTCCTTACCTTCCCAGGCCCTGAAGCCCCCTTCCCCGAGGCTCCTGCTGACGGCCAGGGAGCTCCTGCCCCCTCTGTCTGGCTGTGGTGGTTTGTGCTTAGCCACTCTGAGATCAAGAAAACTCCCTCTCTCCTGCTTCCTGACCCTGGTCAGTCAATGCTCTCTCCAGAAGGGCGCTCTAGGCTCCTTGGTCTCCTCTCACTGGTCTCTGGCAGCCAACTCCGCGGACAGGTAATTGCACATCCCTTCCCTCCACAGGACACCGTGTTCTCTCTTGCTCCGTTTAATGTCACTCCCTAGAGGTTCAGACGCAGATTCCCCCTTGCAGTCCACCGCTAGGGGGAGCACCAGGACCTTGGCCATGGTCTCACGGCCGAGTTAGGGACTGAAGGAACCCAGGTCTCCTGGCTCCCACTGCTCCAGAATAAACAAATATTTCTCCTCAACCAGAATATTTTTTCCCGGTGACTAATTTTAATCTTTCAAGGAGAGACTGTGTCTCCTGTACCTGTCTTTTTGGCCATGGGGACCTGTGGGGTGAAGGGTGGGCGAAGAACAGTGGGGATGTTCAGCCTCCCTGCCGCCCAGCTACTGCTAAGAGGGGCTGCTCTCACCGAGGTGTTTACAACGCCTTTGCAGCAGTGCTCCTCTGAATACCAGGCTATTACTCATTTGTAGTGTGCCCAGCACAGTCGGCGGAGCTTAGGCAGCCTGGGCCTCAGAACAGGAGGAGGTGATCAGGCTGGTATGGGTGGCATGTGTGAGAAGCCCCTTCCAGGCACACCAGGCAGCCAGGGCCAGACGGGGAGGACCAGGTTATCTTTAAGTGGTACCTTACTCAGCCTGCAGCTCTGCCAGCTGGGCAGGCCGGGCAGACAAGTGTTATTTTGGGATCAGAGGGTAAGAGAGGAGGAAGGCTGTTTCCAGCTCTCCGGTCTGTCCCATTCCCACTCCCAGGAAGGGTTTGGGGCTCCAGCTGCCCCTCCACCCTGGAATCTCTGATCAGCCTCACTGTTAACCATGGGCACAGATGGGAAAGGTCAACTCTACAGAGGCACAGGATCTTTCTCTTTCTCCACTACCCCCAGCCTTCCTCCCTTCCCCGTCTCTCTTTTTTTTTTGGTACCAGAGATTGAACTCAGGACCTTGCGCTTTTGAGGCAGGTGCTGGGACCACTGAGCTAAATCCCCAGCCCCCTTCTCTTCTTTTTAAGCAGTGGCAAAGTATATTTGAAAAAAGTAAAAGTGAAGGGCTGGGGATTTAGCTCAGTAGTTCCACCACCTGCCTCACAAGCGCAAGGACCCGAGTTTGGTCCCCAGTACCGAAAAAAAAAAAAAGTAGAAGTGAAGAGTGAGGGAGAAACTGGCTCACCAGAGTGAGCTTGGGCCAAGTAAAAGAGGAAAAAGCAAGATAAAAGCACACTCTGGAAGATGCAGGTGGGCTAAAGCCACAATAGCCCTCCCCCCAATACTGGGGATTAAACCCAGGGCCTCAAGTATGCTGGCAAGTGCTCTAGCACTGAGCTACATCCCCAGACCTTTTTGAGACAGTGTCTAAATTCCCCAGATTGGCCTCAAACCTTTTTATTTTTTAATTAATTTTCTTTTGGGGGGGGACAGGTTCTTGCTATGCAGTTCAGGCTGGCCTTGAACTATGTAGTCCAGGCTGGCCTTGAACTCATGGAGAGCCTCCTGGATCAGCCTCCTAAGTGCTGGGATTACAGACCACCACCACACCCATCTGGCCTCAAACTTTCACTTCTACCTCCTATTCCTGGTATCAGAGGAGTATGTCCCTGCACCAGCTGGCATAGGGTCTTTCTCAGCAAGAGCAGTTCTGTAAAGGCGGGTTTAGGTGCTTATCATTCCACATGAGATTAGACTAACAGCTAAAATTCATATTTACTATGGGGCCACACTACAAAGTGCTTTGTATTACATTCACTTTGTTTAATCCTCACAATCACTCCATGAAGCAGATATTAACTTACTTGTTCTGTGGCTTAAGTGAAAACAAAAAGCTAAAACAAAACCAAAACAAACCCAAAAAAGTGCAGACAAATTTAAGTAGCTCGTCCCAAATCACGTAGCCAGCAGATGGCAGAGCAGGGTTCAAACCTCAGCAGTCTGCTCCAGAGCCCATGCTCTGAACCCTACCTAGGTACGACTGCAGCCTTGCCACTTACTGGCTCTGTGAGCTTGGCCGGTTTACCTGCTCTGGCCTTTGCTTCCTCGTGTGTAGATGGACCGGTGTCAGTCAAGCCCACAAGAGTCCATGTCAGAGCGAGAGCAAGCTCTGGTCCGTCCTCTCTCTGCTCAGTGGACAGCAAGGTTTAAGGTCACACATGGCACTGGCACTGGCCTGGCTTCTACACTCCTGCCAGTGATGAGGAAGCTGGTGAGGGGCCTGAGGTCCAGTGTGAATTCGCAACGACAAAGTCGGGCTTGGAATAAAGTTTTAATTGAATTAGAGTCTACCCTACTAGCTGGAGGGGCGGGATTTGGTCTGTTGCTATGGTTTGTCCCCCTTCCAAGACCATGAATGTGTTCTGCAGTCTCAGACAGTGCAGTAACATTGGGATAGGTCTTACTTTTTCCTACTGAAGACTGGTCTCAGGGCTGTAGCACTGACCTACACCCCCAGTTCTTATTCCAAAACAAGGTCTCACTAAGTCACCCAGGCAAGGCTCCAACTTTCCATCCTCTCGCCACAGCCTCCTAGAGTTCCAGGGTTACAGGTGCATGCCACCGTGCACAGTCCTGCCCCACACTGGTGCTCCTGAACATCCTGCACCCGCAACACCAGCAGTTTGGGGCTGTGTGGCCCACGCAGTCTCCCGCGAAGGTGCTCATCACCAGGTGCTCTGCCAAGGTCCTCGCCACAGGCAGGCCCCAAAGCCCCTACCCCTTATCTCTGCTCCCTTTTCTCCCCCTCTCTCTGGTCCCTGGGATCAACCTCAGTTCATGTGAGCCCTCACCAGCAGGTCTGGAATCATGGCTATAATGAATGCCACACACTGCCTGCCACCCTGCAAAAACAGATAAGGAGAAAACTTTGAGGAATTTGGTTATATCCTTGGAATGAAGGAAGGGTAGTGAAAGTGAACTGATACGCCAATGATTATCATGTCACACAGATAACTACAGAAAAACTGCTTAGCAGGTGGAAAGGAGCAGCTGGGCCGCCACCTGTTTCTATCCTGTGCTCCAGTAAGACTCCAGGGCTGGTCCTTTCCTCCGAAAGCTGTTCTCCTGAAAGCTCACCAAGGCCCTGATTTAGTAGCAGCAGCATCTGTGAAATGCAACTGAGTCACAGTCAAATCTAGTCAGGGAGACTGAGCCAAATGCAGCTCCCAGCTCTGGGGGTGGCAGGTAGGAGGCGGCACTTCTCTCCATCTGAGTGTTTTCACCAAGTTAGTTTTAATTCTAACTACCATCCAGTGAGGTAGGCATTAGTTCCCCATTTTAAAGATGAATGCACAGAGGCTTAGATGGGACAAGTCACTTACCCCAGGTCCCCCCCTTTCTGCCAATGTAATCATGACAAGTCACAGCTCAAGACTTAAAGGGACTTCCTGGGCCTTCTGTTCAGTCCAGCGCTTCCTCAGCACTTCTTCCCACAGCACAGCTGCATCAAAATCATGTATTCCGCACAGAGTGAGAACCTTGGCAATTTGCAATTTGAGGACACCAGCAATAATGCTACCCCTTTTCTCACATACTCAAGAGTAAAAATGCTGGAACGTGAGGGTCCTTGTTAAGACGGTTTTTGTTGACTTGTACCATCTGCCAGATAAAGGTAAACAATTCAGAAATTTTGGAATTTTATTACCAATTACTTTTGTCTGCTTTGTGACTAGAATCCTGGTGAGGTATTTTTAAGGCCTAGTTTCAATCCCTGTGAGAACTGGGGCTTTTCCATGATAGGTCTGCTAGCTCAAAGACCAGCCTCAGGTTGAGCACTTGTATCGATGGTGAAGAACCTGTAACGTTGCAAAACAACTCATTCCACAGCTATCACTTTTGGAAAAGCCTCCCTTATTAGTCACGAAGTCTACTGACTCTGCCTTGCTGACATTTCACCAACCCGGCTCTTCCACTCATTCCTGTTAGGCCTCCATCCAGGACCTGGGTTCTCCCACCCAGGCTGCCCTGCACTGCATTCCTCTGCTTCAACCCAGGTTCCAAGTGGCCCTTATGGTCACGTTGAGATTGACATTAAAACACTTGTCACCGCTACTTAAAATTGAATAGTCCCCCAATCTTTAAAGGCAGCAGGCCTTGTAGAACCCTTTATCTGGCCCTCACTTGTTCTTCCAGCTTTATTTTTGAAGACCCTGTAAACCATATTCTAATATCTGTTCCCCCAGTATTGGGCCTCACACATGCTAGTCAAGTGTTCTACCACTGAACTACAGTCCCAAGCCAATTCAACACTTGTGATGTGCTCAGATGCTCTAAAGATGCAGTTCTCATTCATGTTTTTTTTTTTTCTTCTTAAATTCTTTGAAATATCCAGCTCCATTCTCATCTGCCTGGCAAATGCAGAGAACTGGCAGTGAGCACAGGCTGCTTGGATTGTGGGTCACTCTGCCAGGTAACATTTGATGGTTGCCTGTTTTCATTAATCTGTAAAATGGAGAAAGCAAAATGACCTACTTTGTAAGTGAGGTAATTCCAGTGCTATTTAGCAGTCAATGGCATTTAAGGGCTCCTGAAGTCTTAGTGGTATCACTGGCTCCTCAAAAGTGCTCAGTTCAAGGGCCACCTTCTCCACACGACCTTCTCCACCCACCACTTACCACTAGCCAGTCCCCTTTGGGAAAGTGGAAGTGAACACTTGTTTCTCTCTCAGCACTCCCCCTATCTGCTGCACTAATGATTTCCGACCCCTGACTACTCTAGCTCCATGGAGGGACCAAGTCTCTCCAGCATCTACCACTAGTCTTACATGTCCAAAGAGGTTTCACTTTCACTGGAACTAACGGAAGAGTAGCCAGAAAACCCACCTTTTCTTTATTATCTACTTATTGGTAATAGATCAGCCTAGCTGAGGTGAGAAAGTGTGGTGGTCTTTCACTGGACAATCCTTTAAACTTCCAAAGCAAAGCCTGAGCATGAAGACTGAAAAGGATATTCAGCATTATGCCAGACGACCTGTTTCTGCTGTTCTGGCCGAAGATCACACTGGAGTCCTGTGGACACAGGATCAGTTCCAGGCACCACACTTTTAGTGACAGCACAGTAATCTGGGATCCCCGTTTACTGAAACCACCTCGTACTTTTCTTCCCCAGTACTAACGATGGAAACCAAGACCTTATACATGCTAGGCAACTGCTCTATTCTCTGCTCATTTCTATAGTTGTCTGGGTTCTAATTTGAATTCTAAATGTTATCCTTCCTTTTCCCAGGGGTTGCCTGTTTTCTAGAAATTTGATCAGCTTTCCTCCCTTATCTGTTTTTTTAAATGGCTTCAAATTGTCTTTTGGAATGAGTAATGCATATAGAAACCACCTATCCCTAACATTAACAGAACAGACAGGAAGAGTCCCGGGGCACATTTTCTAAAGTCATTCCACATTTTTATTTAAAAAAACTTTTTTTTTGAGCTACTGAGGATTGAACCAAGGGTCTCTGCATTGAGCTGTAGCCCCAGCCCTTTTGAACTTTGAAAATGGGTCTCTCTAAGTTGCTAAGCTGCCCAGGCTGGGCTCAAACTTGTGATCTTCCTGCTTCAGCCCACAATGGAGTAATCTGTAGTTTGGTTAGTTGGTAGTCAGGTGCCAACTTCACTATCTTCCCAACGTTTTGATATAACTATCGGCAAGTTAGTTAACAAAACTAAAGGCTATAAGGCCAGTTTGCTATCACTTGCTCTTTAGCTCATAACGAAAACCTGTGAGACTCCAGTGATTAACATCGCTCTTACTTTTGAGTTATTTGTTGTAGGTCATACTTCCCAGTGACTTGTAATTCACAACTCCTTTTTGTGGTCTTTTATCTGCTTTTCAGTCTTCTAGTGTTTCTTCCATTTCCCCTTCAGTCTTTCCACCAAGAGCTCAACCAACTCCTGGGAACCCATTGGTGTTTACTGCTGTTAACCGGCCAGAAACTTGAAGGATCTTATTACCTCATAGGTCTTTTATCTTCAGCTCTACCCCAGTTAGTCCTGCCCTTTTCAGACTGAAGCTAGTTCTCTCTGGCCAAGATAGGTGACAAGAGGAGCAAGAGTTCAACTTCCTGCCACACCACTGGCCTCCCAGGTCTTTTCTTCCTGCTGACACTGGACATAATCTCTCTCAACGCTTCCTCTTCAATAGGATGGGACTGTCCACTTTGCATGCCTGTTGTGAAAGTTAAACGTTCTGGAAACACAAGGAAATACCCACATACCAAGATCCTCCACTTTCAACCACAGCTATGTCTCTTGGCCAGGGGTGGTCCTCCAAGTGACATGGGACCTTTTCCTCAGCAATCAAATTTACTTAAGCAAGAGGCTAAGACCTTCCTCAGAAATCAGCATGCTGGTAACAGGATGACCAGACTCTTGCCAAGGACCTTAGGACCACTTTTGGTACTAGACACTGACTAGGTTTCCTAATTGTCAGGCTATGTCATTCTGTTGGGTCCCAAGTCTTCTCAAACTCAGCAGTTCAATGCTGCTGGCATGAGAGCACTCTTTGTGCCAAAATCAACGGCTAACTTAACTTTGTGGAATGCCCTACTGCACTGAGCACCAAACCCAACTGGCATTGACCCCCGGAAATCAACTATGAAGTGAGTCTCCAAGACACACTGGTTTTCTGGGCATCACTCGGCCAGAACTACCATCATTTTCCTTTTAGTGACTCTCCCAACCAGAGGGAGAAGAGGGAGAGGCAGTATTAGCCCCAGAATCTGGCTGGCAGTGGACAACTGTGAACACACACCCTCAGGACTTTCAAAGAGAAGCTTAACTGACTCACTTCCCATCTCAATCCGGGGCCTGAATGCTAGGGACACCTAGTGGCAGGAAGTCATTACTGACTACAATATCCTTAGGCTTCCACAAAAGTCCTAGAGTAAATGCCCCACTGTGAGGCCCTCCTCTTAAGGAGATACAAATTCATTTTATTACCATTTCCTTTTTACGAGAATATTACCCTACAGAAATTTTTTGTGGCTATTAAAGATGAGGCACCAGATATGGGCACTAACAAAGGGGATCAATGGGCTTTCTCTCCCCTTGATTTTTAAATCCTCATTTACTCTATGAATACACAACAGACTAAAATCCAATTAAAGGACTGCCTTTAAACTTTTTTTCTTCTTCAGTGCTGGGGATTGAACCCAGAACCTTGAGTATGCTATGCAAGTGTTCCACCACTGAGCTATACTTCCAACTCCCTTAAACATATTTGATCGAATAGTGCCAGTTCTTGTAAGAATTATTCTAAGATGTTTCCCAAAACATAACAGAATGTCAAAAAGGCACCTCCTAATCTGTTTTTCTCCTCTATTTTCACTTTCCTTCAAAAGGGAGTAGAAGGCATAGGTGTCGAGACACCTTATACCATGCAGGCTCAATTCCTTTGTAAAGATTACTTTACTGTCTTAGAAAAATATGCACTGCATGGGCCAGGGATTTAGCTCAGTGGTTCTGCCGCCTGCCTCACAAGCGCAAAGACCAGAGTTTGATCCCTAGTACCAAAAAAAAAAAAAAAAAAATGCATTGCAAATGTAAGGGCTATGCCTAACCAATTTAGAGGATTCCTGGGGGACAGGAGATAACCTTTGGGTATTAGCCTCTGTGGTAATGTGTGGGAGAGGCAATTAAATATAGTTGGGTCAGGTGGAATTTTTTTTAAATCCTTTTTTTTCTAAAAAAGGAAAAACAAATTGCCATCTGTCTGCCTTATTTTGTGTGTGCATGTATATATAGGAACAGTTTGGGGGAGGGGTTGTACATGCAATGAAGCAAAAACAAGATGACTTCCTTGGACAGAAGAGCCTCAGTGTTGCAGGAGGAAGCAGAGGGGAGGTCACTGGGAAGGGTTAGCTTGTAGCTATTCTGCTGGTTCCTACTGAGAACCTGAAGCATCAGTGCTGAGGGCAGAAAGCATGATGATCTCTCAAGGGGATTCCTATCTGAACACATCAGATGTCCTATGAAAGTAGACAGGTCTGTTTCAGAACAGAAATGGTCACGACTTCCTGTGGTCCTGAGGTGGGGTAAAATAATCCATGAATGCAGTCCTTCTGGGCACAAATGTTTCTGGACTGGCCAGCAGAGGACTCTGGGAACAGAGATGGGCCAGAATTGGGGAGAAAAGAAGGTTCCAGAGATGGGTGTCTTCATGGAGACTTTGAGAAATGTCTTTTGTTCCAGCATTCCTAGGTGACGCCACTGGTGAGCTTGGTCTGAGTCACTGTCATGTCACTCTGCAGAGGCCAAGGGCCAAGAGTCAGGAAGCCACCCTAGGTTGAGAAGAAAGTGCATCTCAAGGCCAGTGAGGGCTGCAAAACGGTTTGCAGTTGGGCCCAGAGAAGGAGCAAATGCGGGAAGGCTCCCTGTTTAGATGCCGATGGTCTGTAGAACTCGCCTCTCGTTGTCATTGAGGTGGCCAGAGAACATGATGTAACAGGGCTGCTGAGCAAACTGGCAGAGGAAGTCTGTGAGATACGCCTGGAGGGAAGAGTAAGAGTGGCATTACTGAGGGCTCCCAGAGCCACCCAGCTGTAGTGGGGTAAGAACCATCACAGTGGTACACGGAATGCTGGCTTTTAGACAAATGCCAGCTTCCTGAGGGATGGCTTTTGAATTCTTGGATCTACTTTAGGTACAACTCAGGGACAAATTCTATAGGGAGCTGAAATATTTCCCAGCTTCTGATCTCATCTTTCACCCTGAGGACCTTCACAACATAGCTTCACGAAGCTGGGTCATAACACTGGTATAAAACACGAGGTGAACAGTCCCAGTCCCCCCAAAACCCTCGACCACTCAGCATGGGACCCTCGAGGCTCCATGAAGAACCATGAATGGATGTAAGCCCATATTCCTGTTTCCGTGGCTTAGGATGCTGTCACTTCCAAGACTTCTTCTCTGGACACCCTCACCTGCAGATCAATCTGATAGAGAGGATCCTTCAGGGCATCAGGGTCATCTTCCTCATCATCCTCGTAGTAATCCTCCTCTGTTAGACATAGCCAACACAGGGCAGGTCAGGACAGAGGCCCGTGATGAGCCCTGGGTGGTGATGTACCACCACACGGCTGAGGCAAAAGGGGCAAAAGTCCAAGGAACGTCCTTGTAGGCCCACCTCTCCCCTTTCTTGGGCATCCCATTCTTGGCATCACTGTGCAGAGAAAATGTATTTACCATGACTGTGCTCTTCTCAGACTGCTTACCATATTTACTTGTAGCCAGAATGTCAGATAAAAGCTGGCCAGCTAAACCATCCTCCTCCTCTTCCTCTTCCTCCTCCTGGTCCTCCCACATATCATTGGAGTCATCTACTTGGAAATGAAAAGCAGCTAAAGTATATCCATGCATTTTCCCTTCTCACATCCAAGCAGGCAAGAACAGACAGGCGCAGAGGCTTCTGCCATGCAGCCTGCAGTCCCCAGTGGGAGTTACCAGGGATGGTCAAACCTTCCTAGGAAATCTGAATGGAAGAACCAGATCTTCCAAAAAGGAAAGGCCAAGGCAGCCTGCATTCTCCCTGCCAACCACCCCCAGCCTCTGATTTTATAAGGAAGACCTGACAGTGCGGTCACAGAGTAGTCACTCACTAGACTTTGTTTTTTTTAAAATCAATGACAACAAACCAAATTGACATTTTGACAATTTGTAACTTCATCTGCCAAGATAAAAATCTCCTGGGAGTAAGGGCCTGGTGCACCTTGACTCCACTCTGCAGGAGCGGCCTGGCGAGCGGCATTGGCCTCCATGACGTTGGAGAGTTCGTTGATAATCAGCTTTAGGATCTTGACCAGCAAAGGAATGTTTGTCCAGCGCTCTGGGTCTGGGAAGGAAGGAAGGGCTTCAGGTTAGACTGCCACCGGCCTCACTGCTGGGAGCATTCCCGTTCCTCCTGCATTGCCACTCACCAAAGTTCCCCGCCCCGCAGGTGCTTTCCACTAGCCCTGACTACATTTGGCCACCACAGAATGATTTAGTTAAGTAACCTTATTCTACCTGGTGTTATGACAGTTCAGAAGTAGTAACCAGACTGAAACCAAATAACTGTACAGAGCATAGTTCTCCAGCCCCCATGACCTGCAGTTTGAGAAATATCATTGGTGAATATAAAACTACAGTTAAAGACAGCAGCTTTACCACAAATCACTGAGCCATAGGCCAAAGACTATCTGATGACAACACTGTCAATATGGGTGTTAAGACTCCAAAATGAAGTTGGAAGCCGGGAATCCTTGGTACTAGAAAGTATTTTTGTCTATTTTCAACAACAGGATAGATATATATGTTCTGATCCATTGTTTGCCTACAGTTTTCTGCTATTTCTTTATCAAATCCATCACTAACTTTTTTTTTTGGTGATGGTACCAGGAATTGAGCTATATCCCAAGCCCTTTTTAAAATTCTTTTATTTTGAGATGGGATCGTGCTAAAGTTGTTAAGTTGCCCAGGCTGGGCCTGAACCTGTGATCCTCCTGCATCACCCTCCCAGAGGGCTGAGATTATAAACATGTACCACCATGCCCAGCACTAACATATTTTAACAGAGATCCCTGTACATCCCTGCCCTTCACCCTAGGTATTCTTAGCCCCTACAAGGAATGGAGGGATGGCAGCATCACCCACTTTTGGCCGACTTAGAGCGGGTACGGATGCCCTCATCCATGTTGTAGATCTCTTCTCCTTTCACGCGGATATCCTGCAGCCGTTTGTCATCTGCATTGATGCCATGCTGGAGTAGTTTACACAGTGCCACAGAGCTGGCAAGAGAGCCAGAAAACGTCACTCAGCCACCCAACTAGAGTCCACTCCAAGGAAATCAGCCCTTATGCTCTAAGACGCTGTCTTTGAGTATGAAGTTCCATTTACAACTAAGTAGGAGAGATAAGTGAGTTTAGTCGAAAATGAAATTTAGAATTCATGAGATGGTCTAAATGAGATCTTGTTACAGTTTAGATCTAGAATGCCCCCACAAAGTCTCCTGTGCCTAGAGGGCTAGACAGGAGGTGTACTCATGGTGGATCCATCCACTGATTAGTTCAGTAGTGAGGGTGCTATTGGGAGGTGGGGCCTGGAAGAACAGGTCACTGGGGGTGACTCTGAGGGGTTTATTTCCCTCCCCAGCTGCCTTCTCTCCTTTGCTTCCTGCCCACTATGATGAGAACAGCTTTCCTCTGGCCAGGCACTTCCACTATGTCATTTCTGCCTTGGAGCCAGATGACTATGGACTGAAATCTTTAAAAATTGTGGGCCAGGGCAGGGGATTTAGCTCAGAGGTATTGTGCCTGCCTTGCAAATGCAAGGTCCTGAGTTCGATCCCTGGTACTGCCAAAAAAACAAAAGAAAATAAAACAAAACAAAAAACTGTGGGCCAAATAACCCTTTTCTCCTTTAAGTTACAGGTGTCAGGTATCACATCTCAGCAAGGGGAAAGTGACTAAGACAGATCTGCTCTTGTTAAAGCAAAGCTGGAGTGGCCAAGCATCGCAATGCATGGCCACACTGTAGAGTGCACAGGGTGATGAGCCTGGGCCAGAAAGTTACAAAGCCAAGGTTAGAAGGCTCGGGTTTATAAAGGAGAATGAGCTACAAGCAGTACTTCGCTGGGTGGGGTCTGCAACAGAAAGGCTCTCAGCCAGCAGACATCAGAAATATACGGACTACTCTGTTGAGGATTTCAAGACGGTAGCCATTCATGCTGAGTGTGGTGGCACACGCCTGTCATCCCACTACTTCGGACGCATTCAAATATGCAAGTTAGCAAGAAAGAGGAAAGAAACTATAAGGAGTAGTTTGATATATCAAACAAAAATCAACAGTCCAAGTCAGGGATGGAAGAAACGTGAGCAGGGGCAGAATGCTCAGAGAAGAAAAACAGGGCTCTACCTGACTTTGCCTTCATATTGTCCATAGAACAGATGCTGTCGGCTTGTCCACTCAGCCATCACAAACTCCAGGGCAGGTTTGCCAGTAGGTCCTGGGAGGCTACAAAGGAACTCCAAGAGAGGTTCCAGCTGAGTGTGCACCAGATGAGCAAACACCATGATCAGAGACTAGGGGATAATAAGCAGGACATCTGCTTCAGGAAAATAGTATCAAAGATATAGGAGATGAAAGGGAAAGGGCTCACAGTCAAGCAACTGTCTATGCACTTCAGGGACAGGACAAGAGAACGTGGAAATCTCCTTGTCCACGTTTCTTGGGCCAGGAGAGGTCCCGTTTTACTTAACTATTCATAAAGATAGTGAGAAGATAAACCAAGTCAAGGCCCACATACTAATGTGCATCCTATCACCCAGGGGGTAGGAAAGCCCAACTCCCCAGGTTCCTTACCTGCATAACACTGAGAGTCTCTGCCTGCTGCATCTTACTGAGGATGGCACGAAGAATCTGATCCAGATTCTCCCCCAGCTCCCGCCCTGCCTTGGAGATGAGAGTGGAGACGAGACGGCCCACAAAGGCTGCAGTGAACTCTGAGGTGCGGGGGTCTAGGAGTTGGCTCACCACTTGCATCACATACCACAGTCCATTGTGGCCTTGCTCATCATGCCACTGGGCAACCTGCTCCAGCGTCACTGACACATAGGCCCGCAAGCACTCTCCACCATTCTGGGGAGAGAAGGGGCAAGCAAGATTAGCAGCCAGGAGACAGGTGTCACAAGGCCCTCAGCCTGTGTGGGCCAATGTTGTTCACTGTGAGGCCTAATGGCTCACAAGAGCCCCTGGGCTTTGTGGCGGACTTGTTCCAGTCAGGTATTTTCTGTTACAGATACAGACATGCATCACACAATCCCCTCTCTACTCAATCAGTTATTCAAAAAATGTGTGCATCTGATCACATGGGAGAGTGGTCAAGCAAACTAAGCTTTAACTATAAAGGTTAACCTCTGGTACTGAAACATTTCTCAGATATAGTAATATTTGGGGGTACTATAGGTCTTAATAGGAATAAAAACAGACCTTCCACAAACCACAATTTGCCTAGGGGTTTCCAAGCTGATCAGTATCCACTGGCAAGTTCCTAATCAATTAGAGTAGTAAAGTCCTGAAAAAGTAACCAACTCACCAAAGGAAGAGAAAAATATTCTGGCATCCATCACCTCTCCAGAGGCCTTTCACTTGGCTGACTTTATCAATAGGAGAAATATTCAGAAACTCTACGGCCCCAAGTTTAGATGTTTGTAATCTCTTCTGCAGTACCAATACTCAGATACAGAAAGCCACGATGCCTGGTATCTATACCCCTTAAGGTTATAAAGGATCCCAAAAGCACAGAATGTTTGGCTTTTGAGGCTCAATTCTTCCTGGGTCCTCTGAGTAAATATGGAACTGACAGAAAAGCATGAAAGCATGTCAGATATCTCAGCTTATTCTAAGCCTGTGGGCTCCAAGTCTCAGATACCTGCATGGTGGCATTATCATCTGTGTGAAGGGTGCACTGGGCCACAGCAGGGAAAGCTTGGCAGATGAGGAGCTGGGAAAGGGGAGGCTTTGTGTTCCGCACTACTGTGGTCAGGATATCAATAGCTGTCTGAAGGAGAGAAGAAAGAAGAGTCAGAACTGCCTCTGGGTTGGGAGATGCCCAAAAAGCATGACGCTTACTAGGTAGCCAGACACACCACAGCAACCCAGAGAAAGCTCATCAATGAAAGGCAAGTTTCCATAAGCAAAGGAACAAACAGTAGATAGTTTATCACTTCATTAGCCACGGGGGGTGGACAGTACATGGCAGTGAACTGCACAGCCAGGAGACATACTTAGTGCTACTGTGTAATGGTGGAACTATAGTCAATTCATGAGTGTACCTCTGGAATTAGAAGAGCCCTTTTGCTTAAATCTTCAGACAAGCATCCACTGTTCTTATGGGCAAAGTGTCCCAGCAAAACTGCTCTACTCCACAAATCTCCAATGCTCTTACTAGTTTCCTGTCAGCTAGGTGGGACCTGTGGGTGGCACTCAGATCTCTCTTTGACATACACGGGCCTTGTTTTCACTCACCGCACAGAGCCCTGCAGGGATCTTGTCCGCTGGGGCCTGCATTATGCTGACCAGAGTGGGAATCAGCCTCATTTGCATCGGGCCCTGACAGGCTTCAATCTGAGACAGCTCCTTGAAGATGTCCTGAGCCAGCGAGGCGACGACAGGATCTGAAGTGGAGAAGGCAACACAGAATCCCTGTTTGATGGTCTGTATCTAATTCTGGCTTAATAATGCTTGTTGTTTGGCCTTAATCTAAGTTAGCTTTTGCTCTGATACTGTATCACATATTTGGGACCTAATGGGGCTACATGAATAACCTGAGAGAACAGGAGAGATACTAAATCTCCAAGAGGCACAGTACTTTATATTTTCTTTTTTTTGGCCTTGAACTCACTAATAGCCCAGGCTGGGCTCAGCATCAGCCTCCTGAGTGCTGGGATTGCAGGGTACCACCATGGCCAGTGCACAGTGTGCATGTTTTCATTAAGGCAAGGACTAGTCATTAATAGCTACTCCTAAAAACAAAATTTGCCTTTTTGGGGTAGTACTAAGGACCGGACCTTTGCATTGAGCTACATCCTCAGCCATTTTTGATTTTGAAATACAGTCTTGCTAAGTCACGAAGTTGTCCAGGCTGGGCTCGAATTTTTGATCATTCTACCTCAGCCTCCTAGACTGCTAGGTTAAAGACAAGCTACACCATGCCTAGCTAAAATATTTTTTCCCTCCTTGGGGCAAATCTTTAAAGTATTTTTTATTGTGAAACCAGGACTGATTATGAAATCAAATGCTTGGAGGGAAAAAAGCCCTACCATTTTGTGCTGTACTAAGGATTAAACCCAGGGCTTTGCTCATGTTAGGCAATGCTCTACTATTAAGCTATAAACCCCTGATATTTATGTTAAGAAGACATGAGTTCCCAAAATGGCCAAGACATATTTTTCCCTAAGTCTTGTGTGTTTAGGAGAAACCACACATGTTTCTTAGGAGTGAATCACCGGACAGACAGAACTCCCAAAGACATTTCTGGAGCAAAAATAAAACTCTCGGGGCCAGGGATTTAGCTCAGTGGTTCTAGCACCTGCCTTGCAAGTGGAAGGTCCCAAGTTCAATCCCCAGTACCACAAAAAAATAAATAAAAAATAAAACTCTCTTTAAAAAGAAGACCCTAAAAAAATAAATATAAAAATAAATAAATAAAAAGAAGACCCTTATGTCAGCCGGGCGTGGTGGTATATACCTGTAATATCTGCACTCGGGAGGCTGAGGCAAAAGGATCACTGTGAGTCTGAGGCCAGCCTGGGTGACATAGTGAGCTCAAGGCCAGCCTGAACTACACAGCAAGGCCCTGTTTCAAAAAAAAAAAAAAAAAAGAGGCAGAAATGGAACTTTAGCTTGACCTTCTTCACCTAGATCAGTGGTGGTGAGCCTATGGCATGTGTGCCGCAGCAGGCTGTTTGCATCACTAAAAGCTCTAAAAATTTCACCATCATTGACCCAGATGATAAAAATACCCTCTATTTAGCATGAAAATATATGTTGTGTATACTAAAGTATACATAAAATCACTGCAGCATTATTTGAAATAGAAAAAAAAAAAGAGAATACTCTAGCTGTGCATCAACAGAATGGGTAGATGATGATATAGAAATTTTATGGACTATGTGATGGTTGGAAAGAATAAAATATATCCAAGCATGCAATATGGGAAGATCTCCAACATACATTTTTAAGTGAAAAAGCAAACATGAAGTAATTCCTCTCTATATACATCTTTCTGAGCTTCAGTATTGGAGCTCTCTCTTTAAAAACAAGTATCTTTAAATTTTTTTCTAGTAATATAGTATGAATAAATACATCTCAAGAAACTTAAGATGCAGAAAAATATTAAAGGAAAGAAAAACCTGTAATTCTATCATGCAGAGATGGTAACATTTTGATGTACTTTCTTCCGGAAAAAAAAAACTATTCTTTTCTAAAGCAAAACTAAAACTTGGGATCATATTCTAGACTTTTTTTGGAAGGTTGTTTTTTTACCTTTTTTTTTGGACTCGGGGATCGAACTCGGGTCCTTACGCTTGAGAGACAGGCGGCGGAACCACTGAGCTAAATCCCCAGCCCACTTCTTATAATGTAAACACTTTCTTATAGTTCTAAATCAATGTAAAGCTTGATTTTGAGGGCTGCATAGTATTTCATTTGATGGATATAACTAATCTTTTATTATTTCCATATTTTTACTATTATAAAATACATCTGATGAATAAATTGTTCAAAACCTTTTGCATGTTTCTCTCATTTTTTCTTTCTAAAATTATAGTTCTAGGCCTCTTCTTTTAAGCTTTTCATTTAATTGCTCAATTTCCTATTCTACCATTAAAGTTCTGAATTACGTCTCTTGGATATTAATTAACCTTTTATTCATTATATCCCTCCACCTAGTCCCTGTTATAGGACAGTGTTACAGGAATAGGCTCTACTTCTGTTGATATATTGATATATATATAATATCAGCACAACTCTATTCTTTGTTAATTGAAAGCCACGCTTTTTATTTGTGATACTTAAGACCATCAGACCTTAGGGAAACTTTCACCTAATTTACCAGCCACCATGTTTTCTAGTGTCTCTTATCAGCACATCCTCCCTAATGGCATACCATTACTGTACTTTAGGAAAATCGCAATGGTGAAGGGGCAGATTTTGCTTTCCATGCTTGCTGTGAACTCTGGGTCTACTGTACAAACGATGCATAGGGTCTCCATCACCAGATTGAGGACCTCTGAGCTGAACTGCGCTGCTAGGTGAATTAAGCCGTCAAGGATGCTGGGGAGGAAAGGCTGAAGCACGTGGGTACTCTCAGAGACCTTCAGTTGATCACAATAACTAGAGAGAGACAGATAAGCAAGAATTACTCATAAGTAGAGCTCTCAATTCCTGGCTTTTCCAATCTTACCTATTATAGTATTTATGTACGTAGTTTTCTAAAGCTACTTTCTAAGACAGATGTTTTTCCATCTTTATGTGGCATGTTACATAAATACCAACAGCATTTATTTTAAATTCTTGCTTTTACTTGTTTTTTTGCATACAAGGCATTGAACCCAGGCCCTTGAACAGGCTAAGCACACTCTACTACTGAGCTACACCCCAAGCACATTTGCTATTTCCTTTAAAATTTCCTCCCTCCGATTTTAAGCAAATCTAGTCATGTCATTACATCCAAATTATTAAGATATTAAGCTAAGTGCTTTCTGATTCCTCAGACTATCACTTTAGTCACATTCCTAAGATTTGGAGACATATTCCCATAATTTACTAAATAGTTATTGTGTTTTAACATCTTTTTCAATACAACTGTTATTTAATGAGACTACTTTTGTCTTGTTTTGTTTGAGACAAGGTCTTGTTATATAGTTGGCCTTGAATTCACTATGTAGGCTGGCCTTGAATGCATGATCTTCTTGCCTCAGCCTCCCAAGTGCTGGGATTACAGGTGTGCACCACCACAACCAGCTTTGAGACTACTTTCTAACTTCAATATTATAAAAATTTTGTGTTTTCTTGAGTTTTTTCACATGTAAAAATGAGATTTATATAAAATTGCATACTTATAGTCAGTATAGTACTTACAGGCTTTAAAGTTCTCTATTGACCTCTTATTCAATGAACAAATACTTACTGAGTGTTTCCTACCATGTCCAATAGATACAATTTTCACAAATAAATTATCTAAGTCTTCACTTTTGTTTATTTTTAGAATGGCAATATTGTTGCCATATGTTTAAAGACCCTAGCACAGAAACATGACTTTGCTCTTCTTTACGTTAATGATTTGATTTTAAGTGTCTTATTGGTTATATTTTTTGTCATAGTTGTCAGGTTACCAATGACCAAAGAAACTGTGGGCTTGATCTCAGAATTGGCTATAGACTTTTTTTTTTTTTTTGGTACTGGGGATCGAACTTGGGACCTTGTGCTTGCAAGGCAGGCAGAAGAACCACTGAGCTAAATCCCTGGCCCTGGCTATAGACTTTTTTGATTGTTGGTATATTACATCTTTTTTTGTTGAGACAGGGTCTTGCTATATGGCCCAGGCTGTCCTCAAATTTGCTACCCTTCTAACTCAGCCTCCAGAGTACTAGGATTACAGGTGTGTACCTTTTGCCTGGCTTTCATTTTGATTTTCAATACTACACTGCTCAGGCCTAACTTCTCCTGAAGACTGAGGCGGCATCTGGCTTTGATCAGCTCTCAACTCCTTGGAGGTAGTTGTGGGTCCACCTCTCTACTAGCACAGTACTTGGCTGTGCCATAACCACCCCCTACCCCTAAATTTAAAGAGTTATAGTTACTTGTTCCTCTAATGAATTTAAATTTTATAGTCGTTTAGATCACAGGGAGAGATTGGGTCATCTGTCCAGATAACACCAAATCTTGTATGCCATGTTAAGAGAATTTGGGCATTTTGGAAGTCCATGTTTCTCAAAGTTTTTTTAAACAAATTACTCCTAATGCTTCAGTTGCACCTTATCCTATCCTCAAGTCTTCAAGGAAAACAGACACCCCAGGAAGACTATTTCTATTGTGCTTCTTGGACCGCCTGGAGTAATATGACTTTCTCCTGAGGTGCCCGTGTCTCAGCTTGAAGAGCACAACTAGGAGCCGTGAAGGATTTTTACTATAAGAGCAACAATATCAGGTTTCCATTTTAGAAATAGCACCTGGACAGCTCAAGTAATCTAGGTATGGCAATGTCAGGCTGGAAGTGGAGATCAGGAAGCTGCTGAAATAATCCAGGCAAGAAAGTTGAGGATGCACTCTAGGGTGGTAGCAGTAAAAGAGATGAGAGGCTAAGGAATCAAGATCTAAAAGGCAAAGAACTGGGCTCTCTATTAAAACAGAGAATATAAGACTTCTATCTTTAAGTTCAAGATTCATACCTTTACCAATGCAAAGGATAGGCAGGATAAGCTAGGAGACTAAATAGTAAGCTCTGTAGTCAGTGTTGACTTTCAGGTACTTATAAGCAGTCTATTCTAATATGCATAATAAGCGATGGATACATTAACTTTGGATTTCAGGAAAAGTTTGGCATAAATACAATTTGAAAATATAACACAAATATAATTATTTGTCAATAAATATGTTGTTTCAAAATTTATTTAAGGGAGTTTGCAATGATGTAAACTATGACAGGGAAGAATAAAGCTGGAGCAAAAGAAAAATGTAAGAGTAGTGTGACCATTAAAAGATTGCTAGCAACGGCAGAAAGACATTTAAATAATATGATAAAGACATACGCCAGGATTGCAATTGGCTGGAAAACTAAATCAGAAATGACCAAACAGAGAATTGTGGCTGTGAAGAAAAGCTAGAATCTCTTCATAGCATAGTTCTTAACCTGGGATCCAAAGACAGGCTTTGAGGGATTCAGTGCCTATCCCTGTATGTAAAATTCTGTAAACACGTCTGAGTGTCCATGTATTCGGCATGCAGGTCCATAGCTTTTGTCACTTTTCAGAGAGATGTTACAGCTTCCAGGAAAACCATTAAACCGCTGACCATGTAGTCAATGAGAGGTATACATTAATGATTAAAAATAAAAAAGCTATCTTCGTGTATTTTTTTCTGATTGTAAAATATAAACATTATCAACAAATAAACATCTTACACTTTTTTGTTTGTTTTTGTTTTTTGGTACCAGGGATCGAACTCAGGACTTGTGCTTGCAAGGCAGGCGCTGGAACCACCGAGCTAAATCCCTGGCCCAACAAATAAACATCTTAAACATATAAATATATTCATTGTATCCTAATCTCTGCAGAGAATCAATGTAAACTGGTGCTTGACAGATACTGCTGCTTGTCTAAAACACCCTGGAAAGTAATGTGCTCCCTTTTACCCTACGTACTTCCACATTCACACCAAGCTCCTCTCTCAGCTTGCAACTTTGAACATTTCTAAAAAAATCACAATACAAAGTAGACAAATCTCTATCATTCATTTATACCTGCTTTCAAGTTTACTACCCTGAGGGCTGGGGATGTGGCTCAGTGGCACTGTACCTGCCTGCCAAGTGCAAGATCCTGAGTTTGATCCCCCATACCGAAAAAAAAGAATTTATTACCCTGGTTCTACCTTCAGCCCAATGTGCAATTTCAAGTGAGACACACACAAAGATTTGAATGGTTTGGTTCTTAGCCGGAAAATGCTTTCAATCATATACTGACACTTATCACAAGGGATGTTTTTCTTTTTTTTTAATACAGTGGTGTTTTGATTCATAAACTTATTCATTACACAATTCTGGAAAAGATGGCCATGTCTGTGTTCATGTGGGAAACATGGCTGTCACTGTGTTAGTCACCTGATACGGAGTTTGCAAACAAAAAAAAATTTTTTCCAAATGCTACTGTTTGTGAAATAAATTGTTTGCAAACAAAAGCATTTGTGAACTGAGATACCATTGTACCTCAAGAAATAATTAATGGATATAAATGAAATCAAGTTTTACAAAGGCCTGAAGTGACACAGGCAGTGACCACTGGCCTAGAAAAATCCTTAATAGTCATGCCTTAACTAGGGTAGGGCTCTCAGACATGCAAAGTGACATCAGAATATTTCAAAAAGCTGTATTTAGTCTCTTAACACAATAATATTTTAAACTATTTTAGAGCCAAAGATCTATTTTACTTTAATTGTACAGAAAAAGATGGTGTTCTGTTCATGGTTATAACATTTAATTACCAAATACAGATAGAATAAGTAGGTCCTCAATGGTTTCTAAAGAGATATGTATAACAATGCATGGTGTCTCAGTCTCCACCTCAAAAGGTAAGAGATAGTGCACGCAGTGGAAGATAAATTTTGTGTTGGCAGTGTTTAGGGTTCAACTGAGATGATTAAGTTTGGACCTGAAAATATTCCTTAAAACAACTGTGGCCCACTCTGAAATATAAATACATGACTACTGAGCCTCTAGAGCATCAGTTGTGAAAAGAGATAAAACTGGAAAAAAAAAAAAAAGCAGTGTTTCTAGGCCACATTCTTCCAAATTTAGTTTTGTTTTTTTTTTGTACCGGGGATCGAACTTGGGTCCTTGCGCTTGTGCAGCAGGCGGCAAAATCACTGAGCTAAATTCCCGGCCCCAAATTTAGTTTCTTATACAGAGGCAATCCATCAACACAATGCTGTGGCTTGGACCTACTTCTATCACTTGTTAATTTTACAAACAGGCAAGTTACTTCTCTCAAAGCCCTAGGTTTTCATCTTTGAAATATAAGAAACTGGCCTACATGGTTCCAGAGATGAAATGAATTTAAAGACAGTGAGGAGCAAAAGGGAACAGTGTATCTTCTGGACTCATAAAAACCATGTTACCAATCTACTTTTCCCCCCTTTCTTTCCAACATTCAAGATGATGTCTTGAAGGAGATCATTGGAGAAATTTCCATCCAACATAAAATAGTGGACAATCACAGTTTGGGATGTCTCTCCTAGGTAATTTTCTCTTAAAGTAATTCTTTTTTCTCCACAGATCACCAAAGTGAGTCTTTATTTTAACAGGGCCTGTGCTGCGGCATGGGTGTGTGTGTGTGTCTGTGTGTGTGCGTCAGTACACAGGAGGAAGCCCTCCTAGACTAAAGCCCAAGAAGTGGCTGGGGAGTGCTCTTATATAGCAGCTTGTAAGCTCATGTCAGTGAGAGGCAAGTCAGAAATATGAGAATCTTCTGGAAGGCTTGATGTGAGTGTTCAGTATGCAAATAAGGGGCCAGGTCCCTCCCTTCCTCAAAAAAGCAACAGTAGTGTCTAAAGTGTCAGGAGTTGGGGAGCACTATGGTGACTGACTGCACACATGTTGGAGTGGCGAGTGGAGCAGGATTGCCAGGAAAAACACTGAAGCAAGCTGTCCCAGTCCACTAGGAGACGCTGAGAGGGAGTAAAGGGAGGTGAGGGGAAAGGGTGCAACAGCTACCAGCCAAGCCATGTCCCGCCCCTTCCAGCCAGCACAAGAAAAATGAGAAAGTCAGGCACTTCTTATCTCAGTTCCCCCGAGAGATTTTATCCTTCTTAAACTTAAGGGGAGCGAAAGGGCAAAGATCCATTTTTCTGTAACTGCTTCAAGCTTAGTACTTCTTATCACCTTACAGTAACATACTCACCCCCAGATGGCTCTCACCGCAGAAATTCGAACTGATGGGGGTTGTGTCTCATGAAGACCACTAACTGTTGCCTGTAGGAACTGCTGGATCAGTTCAGGGGACATAGCAACAGTGAACCGACTGGCAGCCCAAAGTGCCCGACCCAAGAGGAAAGGAGACACTGGGAGAAAGACAGAGGAATTATAGGTTGGATGATGAAAGCTCTGTTACATACCCTTCCTGCCTCCTATCTCCACTTGTCAAAGGTTCACAAGTAACTGGACACTACATAATATATACAAGTCATTTGAGAGAAAAGGATGATCTCATACGGTAAAGGCAAATGTGTGATCTGGTAGAGAACCAATTTCCCAGTTGCACTTCTGCCTATTGGGAAAGCAGATCTTGAGTTTTGGAAACTAGAGACTTTACCAATCCAGTTCCCAGCCTCAACTCTTATTCTTCTTCTTTTTTTTTTTCTTGGTACTGGGGATTGAACTCAGGTCCTTGTGCTTGCGAGGCAAGCGGCGGAACCACTGAGCTAAATCCCCAGCCCTCTTATTATTCTCTACCTGCACTACTACGTTAGTCTTCTACATATATTTACCACTGCTATTTTCTTCCTACTCTTGGACCATTGATAGAACATTATAAACTACAGTTCTCATCATGCCATTCTTCTCTTTATAACCTGCCAGTGAATTTTACAGTCTACCAAATAAAGACCACCTTAGTCACCATGGCACTCAAAGTTCCCTAAAATCAGTGATTCTGTCATTAGCTATGATTTCCCTTTATGCATTCTTAACTGAAGTATATATCCGTCCCCAGCAACACACATCTTACTTTACCAGCTCTGTGCTTATCACCTAACTGATTTCTCAAGGCAAAGTAATCCTATCTCTGAGCCACTGTAATTCTGTGTTTAGCACCTTACATGCTGTGTATTTTGTTTGGTATTCCAGTCATGGTATAAGGATTACTATTTCCTGATTACAATAAGCTGCTTGAGGAGACTAAACTTAATCAGCCTGACATAGGACTTAACTTAGTTACACAGATAAAAACATCTGATTAGCAGAAATTATTGAATAGACCCTAACAAACCAGTCAAATATTACACAATACATTTCATAAAACAACAGTTCTCAAAGTATGGTCCATGAACTCCTGGAAGTTTCTAAAGTTAAAACAACTTTTATAATAATACTAAGAAATCTTCAGTGCTTTTCATTCTCTTCTATAAATGTACAGTGGAGTTTCCCAGAGGCTATGTAATAGCATGGTTCTGAAAACTAATGGAATATATGTAAGTACAATTACTGTATTTTAAAGAACTTTTGTTTTAATTTTTAGTATGTTATATTTTGATAAATAAAACCCACATAAAAGTACTTTTGGGACTGGTGATAATTTCTAAGAATATAAAGTGGTTCTGAGACCAGAAAGTATGAGAATGGCTGACACAGAAAAGTCTCTAGCTATAGACAGGATTAACAAATGTTACATATTGAGCCTTTTTCAAATACTAATTTTAGAATATAGAATAAATTTTTGAAGATTCTTTGCCAGGCAAACTCTATAAAGAAATATGTTGATGGGTTTGAGAAATCTTGACACTTTCATTTAACAGAACGTCTACTACCTGACAAGGGCTTCTAGGATACACTGATAAACAGATATGATTTCTACTAAGACCTTACATTCTAGGAGAGAGAAAACACATTCAGCAACTATCATTTGATGCAGTACATGACAAGTACAGAGTGAAACAAGATATTCCCAATGAATCTGGGCTCCGGATGTGCAATAATTGTAATTTTGTGATTCAAAGAATGGAAAAGATGGGGTAAGAAATCCTATAACAGATTATCTATTTAGAATCTCAGAGTAAAATGTTATTAAATGATGTAAGCTACTCCCAGGGCTACCCTAAGAAAGGCAGGTAGGCCAGTGGATTGAGGATGGCCCAAATGTTCCAGGATTTAAGTACTGAGTAGGGAAGTAAGGACAATATGTGTCTCTAAGGATGAGAATAGGCATGGCATGGGTAGAATCAATGTAGCAGCAAATGTCACAGTGAGAGGCAATGATTTTTAGCTACTACTCTGGAGAAATCAGTCTGATAGTAACGACTTGTTTCTTTAAGGCAACTTTAAGGCAAGCAGCTAACCCATTCATGAATATTGGCGAAGAGTATAGCGTGAGAAAAATGACAGGAAGCAAACAGAAGAATGGGTCTGACTGGTGCTCTGGACCTATTAAATCAAGCCAGAGTTCTTAGGCATACCAACCAGGTATGCATTCCATTCAAATGCCAACAACAGTCACAAATGGGAGCACTAATTTGGAAGCAAACATGAACAGTGTGGAAGAATTATGAACTATACAAAATCAGTCTCTTAGTAGGTGATATTTGGCCCAAGGTCCCTGTATTGCTTTAGGCATTTAGATGAGTTCGCATCCTATAGTGCATAGAATGCCCACCCAAAGAAAACAAGAACACTTGGTCTACTACCTGTCTAGAAGACAAATTTAACTGTGCTGAAGGCAGGTCTAAAAATCTTCCAGATTCCGGGCAGAAACATACCCGAGAGGTTGAGGTCTGCAAGGATGACGTTGGTCAGGAACCCGTGCATGTCGAAATGAATCCTGCCATTTTTTACACTGTCAGTGATAATGGACTTCACTGAGCCAAGGGCAAGCATGCAGGCCTCGTGGATCTTCCACCTGTGAGAAGGATACCACAGGCTGGAAAAACAAACTCTACTACCAACAACAGAAAAGTATTTGAGGGGAGAAGACTCAGGAAAGGACCTTTCAACATAATCTGACCCAGAAGGGCCATTTATTTGTCCTTCTCATCTAAACACAGTTATTAAACGGCACCAAAAGTAAGAATAAATTTAGTAACAGATTTTTCTAATTAACACAAAATAAAGTCCTTCCCTTTAAGGTTATTTTAAAACAGAAAAAAAAAAAAAAGCATTTTGAGATTAGGTAAAACTTCTTTAGAAAAGATGATTCAAAATAAGGCTTTGATTGCCTCAGGTCTGATGCCCAAAACAGTCACAAGTCAAGCACCTTGACTGCTCGCTCTTACCAGTGCTCAGTGCCGCTGTTTTTGGTTTGCTCAGCTTCTTGTAAATGCCGAGTGGCTGCAGCGGCCAGGGCTGCTGCACTCTCATTCTGGAAATCTGTGGCCACTGCCTAGGGGGAAAGAAGAGCTAAAAAATCTTATGTGCGTAGTAAATGCTTTTTAACTGCAAATTGCTTTAGTCTGGACTATTAAAAGTGAATGGTTTATGGGGCAAAAAAAAAAAAAAAGTGAATGGTTTGGGCTGGGGATTTAGCTCAGTGGTTCTGCCTCCTACCTTTCAAGTGTAAGGTCCTGAGTTCGAACCCCAGTACCAAAAAAAACCAGTGAATGGTTTAATGAAAAAAAAAAAAAAAAAAAAAAAAAAGCAGTGTTTCTAGGC